CAACCCTCTCACCAAATCATTCTTCATAACCTTCTTGAGTGAGCTTATCCTGACATGAGCAAGTCTTCTATGCCATAGCCACCCAAGTGTTGTTTTGGTGAATAGACAAGTCTTCAAATTTGCATCTTCGGAGGTGAAGTCCACTAGATATAAGTTGTTGTACCTAAATCCATTAAATATCACTTGATTATCATCTACCTTGGATACAACAACATCCTTCTCGGTGAACAAGCATTGGAAGCCAAGATCACACAATTGTCCAACGGATAGCAAGTTGAAACTCAATGAAGCAACATAAAGCACATTTGAGATGGAATGATCATTTGTTGCCACTTTGCCCAATCCTTTAACCTTGCCCTTTGAGTTATCTCCAAAAGTAATTTTCTCTTATCCATCTACCTCTTCATCTAGTGAGGTGAACATCCGAGGATCACCGGTCATATGTTGAGTGCAACCACTATCAATAACCCAATGACTTCCACCGATCTTGTAGTTCACCTACACATAAGAGATTCAAGCTTTAGGAACCCAAACTTGTTGAGGGCCCTTCACCTTCTCAACAAGTGACTTAGCCACCCAAATCTTCTTAGGTCTATTCTTGTTCGGGGATCCTAAGAACATGACTTTCATCTTTCCATTAGAATCCTTTCTAAGCATGTAGTGAGCATTGAAGGCAAAGGGTCTAGCATGCTTAGGCAAGGGTTGTGGAGGTGGAGTTTGGCATTTATGAGCAAAGTGACCTTCTTGTCCACACTCAAAGCATCTCTTTGGCTTTGGCTTTGATTGTTGTTGTTGAACTTGAGCCTTCTTTTTCTCTACATGTGCCACATATCCAATGCCACTTCTATCCATCTTCATGAAGGTGTTCATTAGAAGCTCACTTTGAAGATGCTTGCCTCTTGCAAACTTGCTCAATCCAACCTTGAGATGTTCTTTCTCCATCTTGAGCTTTTTGTTCTCTTCCTTGAGAACATCATTGTTCTTCTCTTTCTTTAGCCTCTTGTTCTCTTCTTTGAGCTTCTCATTCTCAAGGATCAACTCTTCATCATGATCAAGGGTTTCTAGCACAATGATGTTGTGGCTCTTTATCTCTTCAAGATCTTTCATGAGCTTCTCATTTGTGTTCTTGAGCTTGACATATTCATCATAGTCATTGCACACAACCACTTGCTTGCCTTTGCCACTAGATCCTTGCTCAATGCTCTCATCAAACAAATCATCGCATGATGTAGCTATATCAATCTTAACAACATGGTTAGTAGCATCATGTGGCTCATTTGGTAGGAATTCTTGAGCAATGACAAGGGTATCATGATTGATCTTAAGAGTTGTATACTCATCTTTTAGTTTGTTGTGACTAGTGATGAGCTCATTGTGCACCCACTCAAGTTTATCATGTTTATCTTTAAGCTCTTAGAAGATTTTAGCTCCTTGAGTTTGGATGATATAGCATCATTAGTTTCTCTAAGCTCATCATTAGCCTTTTCCAATGTATCGCACTTAGCTAAGAGTGAATCATTTTTAGCATCAAGTTTTTCATTTGTAGCTCTACTCTTTCTAATGATCTTAGTGTAGTTTCTTAGTATTTTGACAAGATCATCATATGTAGGTGAATCATCATCATCGCTATCGCTATCATCATCACTAGCTTGCTCATCATCACTATTATCATCATTCTTAGTTACCTTGCGTTCACCCTTAGCCATAAGGCATAGGTGTGTAGAGGATGATGGCGGTGAAGATGCAAGATCAATAGCAATGGCAGCCACCTTCTCATTGTCACTATCATCATCGGATGATCCACTTGATGAATCAATGTCCGTGAGCCAATCACCGACAATGTAGGCCTTTTCACTCTTCTTCTTGTAGAAGTCCCTCTTTTTGCCATCTCTCTTCTTGTATGGCTTGTTCTTTTTCTTATCATCTTCATTGCTTGAGTCATCTTTCTTGCCCTTGTTCTTGTTCTTGAACTTGTCTTTCTTGGGCTTTGTGCATTGATGAGCTAGATGGCCAAGTTCGCCACAATTATAGCAATCCATCTCGGAGATTGGCTTTCTTCTTGAGCTAGTGAAGAACTTCTTCTTGCCGTCAAACTTGATGCCACTCTTGTTTAGCTTCTTTAGCATCTTGGCGGTCTTCTTCACCATGAGAGCAAGACTTTCTTCATCAACTTCATCTTCACTTGAGCTTTCAAACTCAAGTCTTGCCTTGCCCTTCTCTTGGCTAGCTTTGAATGCTAAGTCTTTATCTTTCTTCTTGTTAGAGGTTGAGCCATCTTGTGGGGTGATGTGCATGTACATCTCATGAGCATTAATCTTTCTCAAGATTTGTATCGGTGTAGCGGTGGAAAGATCACCTTGGTGTAGCACGGTCACAATATGCCCATATTTTTCAATGGGGAGGACACTCAAGATCTTTCTCACAACATCGGATGGTGACATTTGAGTGAGTCCAAGCCTATTGACTTCCTCTACAAGAACATTCAAACATGAATACATCTCATTAGCACATTCTTTGGGAAGCATCTCAAATGAATTTAGCTTTTTAATCACAAGATGATAGCGTTCTTCATGCTCACTCTTAGTTCCCTCATGGAGCGCACAAACGTCCGACCATAGAGCATGGGCGTCTTTGTGGTTCCTTACGCGATTGAACACATCTTTGCAAAGGCCTCTAAAGATGGTGTTGCGAGCCTTTGCATTCCATTTTTCATAATTAACCTCATCGCCTTGAAGATTAGTAGCATCCCGAGGTTTTGGGAAGCCTTGCGAGACGGCTCTAAGAATACCAACGTCTAGAGCCTCTAAGTACGCCTCCATGCGGATTTTCCAATATGGAAAGTCATCTCCCTCAAAGATAGGAGGAGGTCCATCCCCGTGAGACATCTTGCTCTAAGCGGTTAAGCTTAAAAGGTGAGCACGAGGCTCCGATACCAATTGAAAGGATCAAGATGCCCAATTCTAAATCCTATGATTAGCCCAATTAACCCCTCGTGCCTAGAAAAGAGTTTCTAATAAACTAACACACAACGGACTAGCAACCTATGTTCCAAACTTACTCTAGCATGGCAATTCTATGAATGTAAAGACAAGTATTGAGTTGCTCAAAGTAAATGCTTAAAGTAAATGGAGAGAGAGAGGAACGCGGCGATGTTTTGCCGAGGTATCGGAGAGTCGCCACTCCCCACTAGTCCTCGTTGGAGCACCCGCACAAGGGTGTAGCTCCCCCTTGATCCGCGCAAGGATCAAGTGCTCTCTACGGGTTGATTCTTCGACACTCCGTCGCGGCGAATCAGCCAAAACCGCTCACAACTTGAGTTGGGTCACCCACAAGCTCCGCCGGGTAATCACCAAGCTCCCAATCACCACCAAGCCATCTAGGTGATGGCGACCACCAAGAGTAACAAGCACGAACTCTCACTTGACCACGCGAAGCCTAATGAGAAGATGGATGCACACTTGACTACTCTTGATTCACTAATGAGGCTACACTCTTGGATTCTCAAATCTCAATCACCTCACTAGGACCATGCTCTTCTTGGCACTCACAAACATGTTTCTCAGTTGTTGGAATGAGCAAAAGTAACTCCACACACAAGTGGAGCTTCTATTTATAAGGCAGCCTGAAAAACAAACCGTTATGTGCCTCTGCGGGGTGACCGGACACTCCGGTCAGTTGAACCTGCGAACCAGTGAAAAAGAGTTGACCGGACGCTGACAGAGTCCGGTCACCACTGACCGGACGCGTCCGGTCACATTAAAACCTTACTGGAACCTTACTGTACTCGACCAGACGCTGAACCCCCAGGGTCCGGTCAGTACTTACCGGACGCGTCCAGTCGCACCGAACGTAGTCCCTTGATCAAATGAACTGACCGGACCCTGCGGCCAGCGTCCGGTCGCACCAGGGCCACCATCCGGTCAGTATTTGACCCTCCATTCACCTTCAACTCTCGATCATGTGTGAATGAAGTTTGCTCCATTGGATCTTAGGCATATGTAGGAGCTACCTAGAGCTAGTTTAAACAAGTGTGCACCACACCTAACTCACTAGACTCATCTAGGTCAAGCTACCCGTCCATACCCCCCTTAATAGTACGGCCAAAGGAAAAACAAAATCCTAAACTACTCCAAGTGTCACTCCAACTCCTATTGACACCTAGAACTAGTCATCCTTAACCTTGTCATCAATCCTTTGAAAACCGAAACGATTTCCATCGTAGGGGCATGACCACCTCGATTGCTCAATCGATCACCATTACCATGACCTAACTTAATTGCCTCTGCAAAACACACGTTAGTCATAGTAATCTTATATTGTCATTAATCACCGAAACCCAATAAGGGGCCTAGATGCTTTCACGGGCGACGGGGTGGGAGTCGGTGGCGAGCGGTTGCGCATGAGCACCACCTAGCACCAGCACCAGCGACGCACGCGAGCACCACCACCACCAGCACTAATGGCACCGGGCTTAGCTCGGCGGCGACGGTGGGGGATAGGGGCGGGGAACACCATAGCCTCCGGGGTGGGGGAGCTCAGTCGCCGGGGTGAGAGAGGGCACCGCGCCAGGGTGGGGGAGAGCCGCCGACTCCCCTACAACACCATGCACCACCACCATATGGATCTCGCTCGTGCTCCATGGATATCGCCGGGGTCGGGGAGAGGGCCACTTGATCCGCGGGCATTGGGCGCTCCGAGTGGGTGAGGACGCCGGGGTGGGAGGAGCCGCCGAGGTGTGGGAGGAGGACGTTGGGGTGAGGGAGGGCGCACGCCAAGGTGGGTGAGGGTGCCGCTGCCGGCTAAGGAAGCAGCCATAGCCGCGCGTCGGGGTGAGACAAGGTGCGAGCGCGAAAGGGATAAGGATGGGGAGGAGAAAACAAGACATAAGATCTTTTTGGATGCGGGAGTGAGCAGAGTGAGGCTTGTCTTAATTGTATCATTATCGATCTTACTACCTCCCACCAAAGCTGACTACCACAAGCTGTATTATTTGAACTGATTTATCGTTTTATGGTCCCACGAACCAATTGGCGCCATTTCTCGAAGAAATAACCCGCAACTGAGGAACCTGACAGAGATTGCCCTGAAAGGCCGGCCTCACCTGACAACTGAAACAACATGATGCAATTGCAAGAATCACTTTCTGCATTTGACAACTTCTCCATCCATCCATACATCCATGAACAAGAATCATACATCTGAATATGCATCAGATGAAGGCCTATATCTTTTTTGCCATAACCATGATACCCCACTGACATATACAGCGTCAAATTACCCTAAACCACCATAAAGACCCAAATCGCATCACGCAAGATGATAGAACAAGTTCTACTTACATTCAGTGTATAGCTCCCTATATAAATTAGCCTCCTCGGCACCCAGTTGCTTCGAAACTCTTAAAAAAAAAAGCACAACAGCACCAGAGGCCCAGGGCTCAGCACTAGTAGAAGTAGCAAATACATACATAAAACAACTGGCAGACGGGCTCGACTGTCACTTTACATGGGAGTCGTAGACGTCAAACACAGATTCTGGGATGACGGTGGGCAACTTGTCTATGTACATGAAGAGTCGCCTCAGGTTCTCTCTTCGGACTGTCTCCACGTCGACGATGTCCTTGTTATCTGTGTATACCCACAGGTCAGCAGAGTTTACCCTCTTGAGGCTGTCACGGCAGAATGGACAGGACTGGGATCTTGACCTCCTGCAGCAACAACATTACCCACTTAGAACAATGAGATTATATGGGGTCATCGAAGAAAGAAGAAATTCAGTGGAAGAATCTGAAAGATATCTAGTGATGGTCAGATTGACAGTCTGATACTAACAAACTGCATGCTAGTTCTGCATCGACATGTTAATAACACACACAATGGATGACCATTGTCCTTATTTGGCTTGATGTAACATCACAGGACTGTTTGGTTAGCAACCATATTTGCCATGCCTAACTTTAGCCCTCAAAAAAAAAATCAATAGAAGAATCAGAAAGATATCTTTTGTAGGCTAAGACAGTGATGGCAAAGGCTGACATCAACAAACTACATGCTAATTCTGCACTCAAATGTTAATAGCATACAGAGAGAATGACCATTGCCCTTACTTGGATTGATGTATAATATCAATTCCAAATACAAAAAAAAGAACAGTTTCAGCAGACAGCAGGCATAGAAATGAATACTAGTCCTTGAAGAGTCCACGAACAGAATTAGAATTCAATTATTGTTATATGGAAATGAACTGATAGGCAAGTCCCTAGTCCCAGGTAATCTAGTATTCACATTTTCACCAAAAATCACATGAATTAATTAGGTTTTGTACTGTTTCAGAACAATGGATAAGCCTACATCCATAGTTCCAAACAAAAAGACGATGACATGGTATGTTCTAACTTGCAAGCAAACAAGCCCAGTGGAGATCTCAAGGCAAGCGCTCCAGAGTAACCGACACATAGGAACACCATTAGAACATATAGACCACTCGTAAGAATTTAGGCCTTAACTCAGTTGCTAGTATCCTTAAATTCAGGCATAACCGAGTGTTCAAGAGAAGTCCACAATACATGGATCTTGGTCTCCTTCAGACTCACCACAAGCTGTAACCTGTTGTTACAACCAGCTCCTTATATTGACACTTTATTATTAAGTTACATTACATGTTCAGGCCCATTCCTGAATTCTTGTCTCGTGGTAAAATGTGTACGGAAAAAGAACTTAAAAAAGAGTAGAGAATGAAGTGATGAACAGTACAGCTTCAAGTTCTGCCCCAAGACTTCTACTCCATAGGACATAAGATTATGATCATTGCATCAAGAGCTAGTAAACATCGAAGACCAAGAATGGCAGCTGATATTAGTTAGCTGTAGAAGAGATTTTTAGCAAGCTTTTCCCATTACAGTTTGTTGCCAAACTAATCTCATGTGAAAATCTACCAATACCTTATGGAACATAGCAGCAAAAGAATGAAGGTCACAACAGCTAACGAAGCAAAACGGCAGTTATGGACTTACGGTCATGATTTAGGGTCAATGGTTCATAAGGGTAAATTGATCCTATATGTAATGTGGAGGTCAGGGCAAACAAAAAAATGACCAGCTCATTACTAACAAATCCATAAATTTATGAAAAAACCAGCTTATATACATGTATCCAAACATTATTGTATCAAGCTAGAAATTATTTCACACACTGAAGGCGCAGTATTTCATCTCGAGCATGCAGGAGTGCATAATTGTCAGAACAATGTAATAATTAAAATATCCCAAAATCTCTAGAAACAGGAGGCAGATTTGTACCAGTCGCGGTAGCATTTAATGCACATAGCGTGGCTACAAGTTGGAAGAACAACTTTGCTGTTTATCTCCATGCATATGCCACATTCCTCCTCTATATTATCATCAATCTCAGATATCACAGTTTTCTGATCCTCATCTCGTTTTCTGTACCTCTCTAGACATATTGCTTTCTGTTTTTTATCCTCCACTTCATTGATTCCTTCATGTAATTGCATCAAGGAGGGAAATATGACAGCTGCCAAAAACAACTGAGAGCTAATGAACAAGAGAGTAAGGATAATAAATGTGCAAAGAAAATATCATTCAAAAGGTTCTCAAAGGTATGCACTAAAAAAAAAGGGCAGACCCAGTGCCGGAGGCTCCCACATGAGTGGGGTCTGGGGAAGGGGAAAACCGAGGCAAGCCTCCCCCCGCAAAATCTGCGGAGAGGCTGCTTCGAACCCACGACCTGGTGACTCAGTGAGACAGCTCTCACCACTGCACCAGGCCTGCCCTTCTCTCAAAGGTATGCACTATACCATAAAATTCCCTGATGCTTGCTTTTCTTTCATGAGTACACATGGTGGTTGTCCCATCAGCGTAAACCTGCACATTTAATATAATTGTGACATTAACTCAGGTGCTGAGCCACCATTAGAAATTAGAGAAGGGGAGAAACTTGGTTCTAATACAGGAATGTTGGTCAACCTTATAAATTAGAATCTTCAACAGCCCAAGTGCACCAGCAAGGTTGCAGTCTGTCCACTGCACAAGAAAAAGGAAAAAGTGGGCAGCAGGGCAGTATGCCATCCTCATCTGAAGGCAGGCGCCATCGTATTCCCTTCGAAATTCAGAAGCACTGCATTTTTACAAACTAGCAATGAATTCTTGGTAATGTACTGAAGCCAGGGGGGCGGGGGGACCTAAATGATGACTTGCCAGGCCAACTAGGCCGTGAAACAAACCATGAATAGTAGTTAAATTCATCATTACAGCCTTGTTAGCCAAATGATTTTAGCTCTCATGGTGCCTTGTATGTTTGCAGACATACGCCCTGTTCGTTTGGACTTGTTTGGCTGAAAGTACTGTTGGCTGATTTAGTGTGAGAAAAATACTGTTCGTTGGCGGCTTATAAGCCAATCAAGCCCAAACGAACAGGACGCTAAGATTCCATCACAATTACCAAAGGACAATAAAATCAATGATGGCACTAATTGAGAGACAACAGATGCCACAAAGGCGGAAGCGCATGACACTGGCAAAGAGGAAATTCTCCCAGTGCTATAACTAAAATATATTTCTTCCAGGCCAAAAGAAGACGAATTTGATACAGCAACAAGAGGAATTCCGAGATGGCAACTCAAAAAGGCATTGCAGAGCTTCACCAACAAAAGGAGATTTGGCCAAAAAAGTAACAGATTTGCTGACAGGTGGTAGTGTGAGATGCTACTGGCAGCAAACTTTAGTCATTTACAGAAACTAATTAAACCCCAAACACAACAAAACTACAAAAAGTGAAGTGATATATATATATATATATATATATATATATAGCTAGCATAAAAGTTGAAGAACCAAACCGAGGGCGACTCTCATTCTATATAGGTATCACAATCAACAACGCATCATATCTAATCTAGATATTTTGGTTGGGACCAAGGAACCAAAAGGTGACTACTAGCCGTGTCCCATGATCTAATTGCTAACCCATTATTAGATTCCAGACCTGAAATAACCCAAGCAACTCTGTCCTAAAACAAATCAACAGAGCAATTCCGCGGCTAGGTACTAGCACCCAGTGTCCGAGCTCAAAATACCTGGAATAGGCACCGGTCAAAGGACAGTAACAGACGATCTCTGTCCTCTCAGCTGAACAAGTGAGCGAACAGTGAACAGGACGCGAGAAGAAAGGCGAGCTTCACTACTACTCACATCGAGTTGGCGTGCTGGATGTCGGCCTCGAGCACCTTGAGCGAGTCCCTGAACGACCTTCCCATGGACACCACCTCCGGGAGCGCTCCGCCTCCACCTCCAGCACCGCGACCATCCAAGCCCCGGCCTCCTCCAGTCCCCCTCCCCTGCTCTCGCCGCGCAAAACCTCACCCACCCCACCCAAACCAAACCCTAGCGGCCTAGCCGACCGCGCTCCGGTCCTCCCGATCCGCGCCGGCCCAATCCACTCCACGCCGCGGGGGTCGTCGGGTTGCGCTCCGGTAAACGGCACGGGCGGGCGGCTCGAGTGGCGGTGGTTAGCGGCGCGGCCATTTAAAGCTCTGCCCCCTCTCGCTTTCGTCCCGGGGTGCCTTGCGTGCACGGGAGGGAGCTCGAGGGGAGAGGCACAGTGACGCCGCCAAAGCTACTGACGCGTGGGGGCGGGCGAGGAGGACCCACCTGCCGGTGAAGGTGCGTAAGGTACCGGTGGGGTCGGGGTGGGATCCCGGAGGGGTGCCACGTACGTTTCTGGAAGGTGAGGTATGGTCGCTGGCTGGGCATGTCCGTTTTGGTTTCGTCCCTACCCGGTTTCAAAGTCGTTTATACGGGCCAAAGTACACGTCATCATGCTGTACGGGGGGCGATTTGTAAGATAATCATGCGTTAGGACGGCACAGATGAATAGACCTGCTGCTAGTATCATATATTTAAGGGGTGTTTGATCCGACTAAAATTTAGGAGATGTCATACGAGGGTGTCGCATAAGGTATTTAGATATTAATAAAAAAGTAAATTACAGAATCCATCTGTACTCCACGAGACGAATTTATTAAATCTAATTAATTCGCCATTAGTACATATTTACTGTAGCACCGTATTGTCAAATCATGGACTAATTAGGCTTAAAATATTTGCTCGTAAATTAGTCGCAAACTGTACAATTAGTTTTATAATTAGTCTATATTTAATACTCAATGCTTGTGTCCAACATTCGATAGAACAACGACTAAAGTCAAACGCCCCCTTATTTTTGCAGTATAGTCTAGTTTATTTTCCCTGCTTGTTTGGTACTTTCTGGACGCAGCCCCCGTCCATCGAGATGGTCAATAAGACGTGTGACTATGTGATTCAGATAGACTTGTTTAAACCACTGCCATGCCAGATGTATGTATGTATGTAGTAGTATAATACCTGTTGATTGCTGAATACCTGACTAACATGAATACATGATCCCAGAGGATACTATTTTCTAGTGGAGTTTGCATCTGTGCATGTAAAATAAATAAAAGAAGGTAAAGTAAAGTAACAAGATTTGCACCCTGCCCTCTTAGCATGAAGCATGATGCATGATGCATGAAATCCTTAGAGCTATCATTAGAGCTGCATGCTTCTACCCAGTGAAACTCATCTTTCTTTCTTTCCTTCCTTTACTCCAAGTGTCCATCCACTCGGCTCCATTGTCAGCTGAGGCAGATTACCAAACACACACTACAAACTACATGCTCCTAGGTATAAAGTGGGGAAAATGTTTTACATATGAACTGCCATTTCAGATAACAGTATATGCCCAATGTTCAACGCTGGACACCTGCCCTTCAAGATGTGTTCAGGTGAAAACAGACAATCGTGTGCATATCGTTAAAATCAACAGTTTGATAAAGTTTTGAACAACATCTATATCAAGATCACAACAATAGCTTAAGCTAAATTCAGGAATAACGTGGAGGATCAACAAGACAGGGACACTTCAACATGAGGCTTTTCATCGGCCTCGTCAGACACCTTCTATCTTGATTCTGCCTCTTTTATTGCACGGATAAGATGGGTCATGCGGTACAGGAGCTTCTCGTTCTCCACGATTAGCTTCTTGTTCTACAAGGTGACAAGGTGTGGTTATGTAGATATGAGATATCAACAGCTGTATGATTGTGACAGTTTCAAGCGATTACCTTCTCTTTTTCAGTCAAGCATTCTGCAGTAACGGCATCCAGCTTTGACCGAAGATCCTTCACGGCAGAGGAAGTTGCCTCAGATCCACCGCTCAGACCACCATCTAGCAAATTAATTATGTATAAAGAAGGAATTAGGCACTTCCCTGATCTCTCATGAACAAAGGACACGCTTGGAACAGCAAAACATATGAAATTACCTTTGTTGTACAGCAAGGCTTCCAGCTTTGCTATGCGTATCTGTGGGATGAAAGGAAGCAACCATAAAATTAGGAAAGATAGCATTGAGACAAACCACCTGTACAGATTAAGCATTCGTGTAACCACTCTGACCAAGCAAGACAAGATTGCCACAGGCTTCCATGTCGCTGGTCAATACATCACATCACGATAACTTCTGATAAAGGATAATAAGAGATAGCAACCCACAAAGTACAGCTTAGACCAGTAGGTATCCACAGACCATAGCCGGCGTGGTCACTGGGTAGGTGATATGGCAATTTAAGAGAAAATGGTCCATGGTAGCCCCTCCTAGCCTGGTTGGTAATACTCCAGTAGAAGAACATGCTAGGTTGCTATTTACTAAGTTAGGCACTTGTGCTGGCAGTATGGGTGGAAAATCTTCAAAGCGGTAGTACATAGGAAGGGACCAAGATGTTTCTTGTAAGGACAAAGGAGGGAGATCTACCAGGGAAGAAATAAAACAAGCAAATAAGAACATAGAAATCTGTAGCCAGGGCAGTTGAAACAATGTTACATGACAGTAGTAGAAAGAATTCTAAGCATTATGTCCTCTGACGCTTTTGAGGCCACGTCAAAAGCGGTCAAAGGTTTATGTTGGGACACCCTGGGATTCCTCGCTTTCCAATCAAAACAAATCATGCAGATAGCACAGACGTTACCAAAAAATTTAAGTGTGTAAAACAGTTGGCTTTCCTCTACGGCTAGAAGCCTGGGATCAAAATATCTTATAAATTCGAGTAGAATAAGAGCTAAGGCTTTGTAAAATTGTTCCTTTTTTTTTTAATGAACACTTGTCAATTTGTTCTTTGCTTGCCCTGACATTACACACGATGCATCGGCTACTAGGCCCTAGGCGTACTTACAGTTCTACGCAATTGGCCAGGACCTCAGGAGTGAAAGTGGGGGGTATGAAGCATTTGTTTCATTTGGGTTCTCTGAAATTTGGCTGGAAGTGGCTTGCTGAAAATTGGATGGAAGTGCCTGAAAAATACCGTTCCGATCAGTGGCTGAGCCAGGATTTATACTCAGAGAGGGCCGGCCATCAGGAATTATACTTAGGGGGCCGGCTCGGTCTTTTTCATTGCGATAATTTTATTATCTAATTGTATTTTGTATAATTATATTATCTAGAAGATATTAATAGGTATATATGACAAGAATTTTATATAATCTCCCTCTTAATATAAATAAAAAATATTAAGTCATACTACTATTTTTTGTTGTTGTGAAACACACCAGTGGTTCTAGCTGAAATGTTGCGAGAGAAAAACACTATTTCAATGGAAAAAAGAAGCCAAACAAACCGGATATAAGATAAGCCGAATGGGCCCTACTGTATGGTCTTATGCATTAGATTCACACTACAAATAGCACAGAAAGATCATCGAAAAAAGCCGCATGATTTGCTCATAATTCCTCACCAATCTGTTTTATCTGCCCCAACATACACCATGAATTAGAAAGAAAGAAAGAAAAGTGGCATCCCACGACACCAGTCAACACTCAACAATGACCAGCTGCATCGAAACCGGACCCACCAATTCCTAAGAATAGGAGGCGAACTAGAAGATTGCTGCCGATTAAGAGTAGTCTAATCTAAAGAGGGACCGCCGGGAATCACAGGTGGTCAGGAGCTCGGGAAAAAAATCGAATCGAGCGAACCTCAGCCTCGGAGGCTCTTTCCTGGAAGGGCTTGAGGGCCTCGTCCAGCGCCGCCGTCGCGGGGCCGCCGTCCGTCGCCATGCTCGCCGTCGGTCGCTTGAACCCTCGGATTCGGAGGAGTCTTCGAGTTGGTCAAGGGATTTCAGTGGGTGTCTGGGGACTGGAGTCCGGAGGACAGGAGGGACGATAAAGAACTCACGGGCCTAATTCTGCTACTGCTCTAGAAGCCCATCAAGGCCCGCCTAGATTGGCCGTGGTAATCAAACCATCAGCTAAATACCATAGGTGAAGATTTAAAACATTGGTTATAGTTAGTATTAGCACATTATATACTTTTCATAATTTTGCTCCCAGGTTCCAACCTGCCAAGTGCCAACCATCCAAAATGCGCTGTAGGGTTCTCATTTTTTGAGGTGTCATGGGACTAAAGAAAAAACAAAGATCTACGTAAAAATGTGCTTGCTCCGCTCTAAATTATAATTCACTTAGTTTTGTCATAAGTTAGACTTTTCTGACTTTATCGAAGCCAAAATAAATTATATTTTAGAGATAATTTAATGAAACTAAGCTAAAATGAACTAGTATATATAATTTAGAAAGGTGGTAGAAAAACACAAAGGACCACTCAATCTCAGGACCTCAAACATAAAATTCCTACACCAAAAATCTGCTGGCGCTGAAGATGAGATGTCGAGGAAGATATAGGAAACTATATAGGTGGATAAGGAGTACAGAATCACAATGATCGCTGAGAACATAAGGGGTTTTTTTAAAGTCGATAGGCCATGTCAATTGCAAGAGCATGTTGTAGGCTTTTGTAAGGTTACCTCATCTATATGCATGGACTAATTGATAGTAAACGTGGTTCATGTGTCTACAACTCAAAACAATGGGTTTAGTGTTGTACATAGTGCGGCTAGTCTCCCTGAATCTTCTATTTGTCCTAAAATGATAATTCGGCAGAATTAGTTTTGTCAACCATCAAATTATGGTGATCTCATAGGCTGTACAGTTATATAAAATAATTTGTTCTTTGATAAAATCTACAGGGGTCAAAATCTGTCTATAGATGAAACTATTTGGAAATGACATATTATAACAGTTGGGGACAACTCGATGCGTGAACCATAAAACCTAAACATAAATAGAAAATATTAAGTTCAAAGCACATTCTGGTGGTATCATGAAAACTCCTAGAAAACTATACTGAAGAGATTTCAAAATAATGCACATCCATAGTGCATCTAGATTGTCATAAAATTTAAAATTTAAAATTCAAAATCAATTCGCAATAATCAATTTTAGATGCACATGTATATAGAACGATGAAATTTATTGAGAACTATCTTCTAGCACATATGCACTTGAAATTTTTTTATTTTCGTATAAACTTTTATAACAAGAGTTTGAATCTCAAATTCTATCAAATATAAATTTATAATTCTTTTTAAAACTTCTAAATATGTTTTTTCTAAGAGTTTTTTTTTACGATTCGATGTGTGCATATTTTCCCAACGTAAATTGCTCCCGTGAAGTCATTCCTCTTTCCTCTCTTAAAACCCTAGCCCTCGGTGGGTCCACACCCAGCCCATCTCCTCCTCTGCCGCCGCCCGCCCGCCCGCCGGCGAAGCGCGCGGCTAAGAGATGGCGCTGTACCTGCTCTTCGAGTCGGCGTCGGGGTACGCTCTGTTCCACCTGTACGGCATCGATGAGATTGGGCAGAGCGTGGACGCCGTCCGCGCGTCCGTGCTGGACCTGCAGCGCTTCGGCAAGGCCGTCAAACTCACCGGCTTCTCCCCCTTCTCCTCCGCCGTCGACGCGCTCAACCAGTGCAACGCCATCTCCGAAGGTACCATGCTATCTCGCCCCCTCCCTCTCCTCAGTCCCACGGTGCCCAACCCGAATGAATTGTGACTTGTGAGGCGTTGAGTGGGCTGTGCAGGGATCATGACCGGCGAGCTGAGGAACTTCCTGGAGCTCAATCTGCCCAAGGTGAAGGAGGGAAAGAAGGCCAAATACAGTCTCGGTGTCACAGAGCCCAAGGTCGGGTCCCACATCACTGAGGCCACGGGGATCCCCTGCCAGAGCAATGAGTTCGTCCAGGAGCTGCTCCGGGGAGTGCGGCTGCACTTCGATCAGTTCATCGACCAACTCAAGGTGATGAATTTCACTTCTAAACGAAACTCTTTATCTGACATCAGTTTTGTTACTGGTCCAATTTTGGAATCTGGAGTGTTGTAAATTCAGAAACCTGCTCCATAGGTGTCTTGTTGCTTATCACATTATCTGAATACTTGAGAAATTTTGTTTTCTGGTTAATTTTGCTTGTGGAGCCAAAATCTGTGGTTTTGGATGGCTTTGGCCCTGAGAGTTACACAGTATAGATCCCACGAGCATTTCACCAGGCCTAACTACTTGTTGCTTATATGTAACAAAATTGCAGGAATCTGACCTGGAGAAGGCTCAGCTAGGCCTGGGTCATAGTTATAGCAGGGCCAAGGTCAAGTTCAATGTGAACCGTGTGGATAATGTGGTGATTCAAGCTATCTTTCTGTTGGACACACTCGATAAGGATATCAATTCCTTCTCCATGAGAGTGAGGTTAGCCTAACATTTTCCATTTAGTCAAAGCTATTTACCATCCAGCGCTTCTTCTTAGATGATGTGATGATTGCTCACCTCGACTCCATTTTTTTTAACAGCACCTTGACTTGGTACCCACATACATTCTGGATAACTCTAAAAATGTATTTGATTGAAAACATGTTCCTTTTGTTTTGTTTGCTTATGCTGCCATGACATTCTGATCTGCAGTCATGTCATTCTGGAATTCTGTAACACACTGCCATTTTTTCTTCACTTTAGTCTATAGAAGTGTCACCGGAAAGTGTATCTAATTTCTAATATCTGCTATGCTTCAGAGTAAAGGATTTTTTTTAATGCTGTGCTTTAGAGAAAGGGAGTTTATTCTAAATGTATTTTGTCATAAATTAAAACTTCTCCCTTTACGCCTCTGAATTCTTTTTGGTTGTCCTTCTTTATTTAATCGCAGAGCTCTGAAAACTCGTGGAAATACACCAAAGTATGGCCTCATATTCCACTCATCATTCATTGATCGTGCATCAGCTAAGAACAAGGGTCGAATGGCTCGATACCTGGCAAACAAGTGTTCCATTGCTTCACGCATTGATTGTTATTGAGGTCAGTTGCACAACTTGTTTGCAAACTTTACATATGCTGATACCCTGTTCTGAGACTCATGACCGTTACTGTTTGGATTCCAGAGTTGAATACATCCATTTTTGGACAGAAGCTGCGTGAACAAGTTGAGGAGAGACTAGACTTCTATGACAAGGGTGTCGCACCTCGTAAGAACCTTGATGTGATGAAAGCCGCCATTGAGGGTATTAATGTGGTTTCGGAGGATGTTGATGGTAAGGATATACCCCCTCCTTGTGGTTCCACAAACACTAAATTTGAATTCATGTTTCTAATAACCATATCAAATTAATTTACACTCATTGCAAAAATTATTTTGCAGGTAATGAGAAGAATGATGTGTCTGCTAAGGCAAGAAAAAGAAGTCTAAAGCTCAGTCTGACGGTGAAGCAATGGATGTTGATAAGCTTGCCGCTGGAGAAGGTGAACCTCAAACTGAGAAAAAGAAAAAGAAGAAGCACAAGCGTGAGGAGCCACATGATGAAGAGATGGCCACTGAGCCACTCAGTGATGATATCAAACAAGATGAGACTCCAAAGAAGAAGAAAAAGAAGAACCGAGACACGTCTGTCATGGTCGGGAGCACTTACAGGCGCCGCGGGCCAGGGACATCCGGCGCGACGCAGAACGCGCGGAGGGAGCGCTGCGCGCGCGTGAGGACGCACAGGGTGCGACCACACCGAGTGGCTCAGATGGAAAGTAGAGATAGGCTTCTATTTTCAGTTCCTAGATTATAGGTGCATGTTGCATGCTGCTCACGCAGTTGGGGCCAAAGGCCATATATTCTGTAACAGACTATTGGGAAGGGAAAAAGAAAGATATTACCGATCCAATCTCCTATTCTCTTTCTCAACCAAGCCTGCGGCAGGGGCAACCTCGCCGGAGAAGACGACGGACCGAGGCTACGAGTTGCGTAGCCGAGGGCCAGCTACCCGAGGGTTTGACGCCCTTGACAACCTGGTATCATGTTCCAGGCGATCCTCGCCTTCCCAATCCGCCTCACCTTCAGCCGCCGCACCACCACCGTCTGCCACAGGCTCCCCACCTCCAGCCGCCACAATTATGGGTGACGCCGTCGACATCAGGTCCCTCACCGAGGCCCTCAAGTCGCTGCAGGCCATGGTCGAGGCCAATGCCAAGGCCATCGCCTCCCTCACCGCGGATCGCACGTCGTCCTCGGGCACCAAGCCGGGCTCCGGCGAGCACCATAATGATCGGCCGCCGAAGTTCCAAAAAATGGATTTCCCGAAATACGACGGCACGAAGGATCCCCTCACCTTCATCAACCGTTGCGAGTCGTATTTCCACCAGCAGCGGATCATGGAGGAAGAGAAGGTATGGATGGCCTCCTATAACCTCGACGATGAGGCGCAGCTCTGGTATATGCAGGTGCAGACGGACGAGGGCACACCGTCGTGGCGCCGTTTCACCGAACTCCTCAACCTGCGGTTTGGGCCGCCCCTCCGTTCCGCTCCACTCTTCGAGCTCGCTGACTGCCGCCGTACTGGCACCGTCGCCGAGTACCAGGCGCGATTCCAGGCGCTTCTCCCCCGCGCCGGCCATCTGGACGAAGCCCAGAGGGTCCAGTTGTTCACGGGCGGCCTCCTGCCCCCGCTCAGCCTCGACGTCCAGATCCACAACCCGCAGTCCCTTGCGGCGGCCATGAGCCTGGCGCGACAGCTGGAACTACGGGAGCAGTACACTGCTGCACCCGCCAAGGCCCCAGGACGCGGCCTCCTACCAGCCCCGCCACCGCGCCTGGCACCTCCAGCACCACCGATCGCCAAGGCGGACGCGCCCGGGGCGGCTATCGCCGACCGGCCAGCGGTCAAGCGCTTGTCCCTGCCCGAACAGGAAGAGCGTCGTCGTCTTGGCCTTTGCTTCAACTGCAACGAGCGGTATACGCGAGGGCACAACCGCGTCTGCAAGCGGATTTTCTTCATCAACGGCGTCGACATCGACAACGCCGACGAGGCCGTGGCTGAGGACGCGCCAAACGCGGAAGCCCCGGTCTTCTCCTTGCACGCAGTTGCCGGGGTGTCCGTCGGTCCCACCATCCAGCTCAAGGTGCTGTTGGCCGCCGCCTCCTTCGTCGCCCTCATCGACACGGGCTCCACCCACAGCTTCATTGGGGAGGCAGCTGCACGGCGCACAGGGCTGACCATCGAGCCGCGACCACGGCTTACGGCGACAGTGGCGAACGGGGAACGCGTTCCCTGTCCCGGCGTCATCCGCTAGGCCCCGATCCTCGTAGACGGCATGGAGTTCTGCGTTGATCTCTTCGTGATGCCCCTGGCGGGGTATGACGTGGTTCTCGGCACCCACTGGATGGCCACATTGGGGCCCATTGTTTGGGACCTCGCGACCCGGACCATGACGTTCCAGCGGGAGGGCGCACGGTCTGCTGGCGCGGCGTGGCACCACCATCTGCGCCGAGCCTCTAGACTGCCACGGTCGACGCCTCACTCCTCGATGGGCTGCTGGGCTCTTTCGACGACGTTTTCGCCGAACCGCAGGGTTTGCCACCAGTGCGCGTCCGGGATCACCGCATCATCCTCAAGCCCGACGCAGCGCCGGTGGTAGTGCGCCCGTACAGGTACCCGGCGGCCCATAAAGATGAACTCGAGCGGCAGTGCGCCGCGATGATCGGCCAGGGCATCGTCCGCCGCAGCGACTCGGCGTTCTCCTCCCCCGTCCTCCTCGTCAAGAAACCGGATGGGTCGTGGAGGTTCTGCGTCGACTACCGCGCCTTGAACGCGCTCACAGTGAAGGACGCGTTCCCGATCCCGGTCGTCGATGAGCTGCTGGACGAGCTACACGGCGCGCGGTTCTTCTCCAAGCTGGACTTGCGCTCCGGGTACCACCAGGTGCGCATGAGGCCCGAAGATGTTCACAAGACGGCGTTCCGCACCCACGACGGCCTCTACGAGTTCCTAGTCATGCCATTCGGGTTGTGTAACGCCCCAGCAACGTTCCAGACGCTCATGAATGATGTACTCCGCCCCTTTCTACGTCGCTTTGTGCTCGTTTTCTTTGACGACATCTTGATCTACAACAAGTCTTGGGCGGATCATCTTCGTCATCTCCGCGCCGTCCTCACCGAGCTACGCCGCCACCAGCTCTTCGTTAAACGATCCAAGTGCGCGTTCGGTGTCTCCTCTGTCTCCTACCTCGGCCACATCATCTCGGAGGCAGGAGTCGCGATGGACCCGGCTAAGGTCCAGGCCATTCACGCCTGGCCAGTTCCCCGCTCGGCGCGTGCGGTGCGCGGGTTCCTCGACTTGGCGGGCTACTACCGCAAGTTCGTCCACAACTATGGCGCGGTCGCGGCACCACTGACAGCCCTCCTCAAGAAGGACGGCTTCTCCTGGAGCGCCGAGGCGGCCACGGCTTTCGATGCACTCAAGGCCGCGGTTACGTCGGCCCCCATCCTCGCCATGCCGGACTTCACCAAGCTCTTCGTCGTCGAGTGCGACGCCTCGTCCCATGGTTTTGGGGCCGTGCTCGTCCAAGACGGCCACCCGGTCGCTTTTTTCAGCAGGCCCATCGCGCCCCGTCATCGCGCCCTCGCCGCCTACGAGCGGGAGATCATCGGCTTGGTCCATGCCGTGCGTCACTAGAGGCCGTACTTGTGGGGTCGTCGCTTCCTCGTCAAGACGGACCACTACTGACTGAAAGTATCTTTGGACCGGTAACAGCCACCATTCCACAACATCATTGGGTGGGCAAGCTGCTGGGCTTCAACTTCGCCGTGGAGTACAAGCCGGGAGCAACGAACGCCGTGGCTGACGCGCTGTCCAGGCGTGACACGGAGGAGGGGGCGCTCCTTGCGCTTTTCGCTCCACGCTTCGACTTCGTCGACCATCTTCGACAAGCACAGCACATTGACCCCGCCCTCGTCGCCCTTCGTGATGACATCAGCAGCGGCTCCCGTGGGGCACCCTGGTCGGTCGTTGATGGCCTTGTCCAGTTTGCTGGGCGGCTTTATATTCCGTCGACCTCGCCCCTGCTCCAGGAGATCATGGTGGCGGTCCACGAGGACGGCCACGAAGGGGTTCAGCGCACGCTGCACCGCCTGAGGCGTGACTTCCATTTCCCTAACATGAAGCAGCTCGTGCAGGACCTGGTGCGCGCGTGCGTCGTCTGTCAGCGGTACAAGTCCGAGCACTTGCACCCGGCTGGCCTCCTGCTGCCCCTGCCCGTTCCCCAGGGTGTTTGGACTGACATCGCCCTCGATTTCGTTGAAGCACTGCCCAAGGTCCATGGCAAATCTGTTATACTAACCATGGTGGACAGGTTCAGCAAGTACTGCCATTTCATCCCCCTGGCACACCCGTACTCTACCGAGTCCGTCGCGCAGGCCTTCTTCACCGACATTGTACGACTACACGGCGTGCCCCAGTCCATGGTGTCGGACAGGGATCCGGTCTTCACATCGACGTTCTGGCGTGAGCTGATGCGCCTGATGGGCACCAAGCTGCACATGACCACGGCGTTCCACCCGCAGTCCGATGGGCAGTCGGAGGCTGCCAACCGCGTCATCATCATGTACTTGCGGTGCACCACGGGAGATCGGCCATGCCAGTGGCTGCGCTGGCTTCCTTGGGCGGAGTTCGTCTTCAACACCGCCTACCAGACTTCGCTGCGGGATACGCCCTTCCGCGTCGTGTACGGCCGCGATCCGCCGTCTATCCGGTCCTATGAACCAGGGGAGACACGCGTGGCTGCTGTTGCCAAGAGCATGGAGGAGCGGGAAGAATTCCTGGCCGACGTTCGTCATCGGCTGGAGCAAGCTCAAGTGATCCAGAAGCTGCACTATGACAAGGTGCACCGCCACGTCGCGTACCGGGTCGGCGATTGGGCGCTTCTTCGACTCCGACAACGGGCCGCGTCCTCGCTGCCACAGGCGGTCTCTGGCAAGCTCAAGCCTCGTTTTTTCGGGCCATACCGCGTCACCGAGTTGATAAACGATGTCGCTGTCCGTCTCGCATTGCCGCCCCGTGCCCGCATCCACGACGTGTTCCACGTGGGGCTGCTCAAGAAATTTCAGGGACCACCGCCGGACGCACCTCCGCCGCTGCCACCCATGCATCATGGTGCCATTGCTCCTGGGCCGGAACGAGCGGTGCGTTTCCGTTTAGCGCGTGGCGTGCAGCAGGTCCTCGTCCAGTGGCAGGGCGAGTCAGCTGCGTCTGCCACTTGGGAGGATGTCGAGCCATTCCGCGCCAAGTACCCGGAGTTCCAGCTCGAGGACGAGCTGCTCCTCGACGGGGGGAGAGATGTCATGGTCGGGAGCACTTACAGGCGCCGCCGGGCCAGGGACATCCGGCGCGACGCAGAACGCGCGGAGGGAGCGCTGCGCGCGCGTGAGGACGCACAGGGTGCGACCACACCGAGTGGCTCAGATGGAAAGTAGAGATAGGCTTCTATTTTCAGTTCCTAGATTATAGGTGCATGTTGCATGCTGCTCACGCAGTTGGGGCCAAAGGCCATATATTCTGTAACAGACTATTGGGAAGGGAAAAAGAAAGATATTACCGATCCAATCTCCTATTCTCTTTCTCAACCAAGCCTGCGGCAGGGGCAACCTCGCCGGAGAAGACGACGGACCGAGGCTACGAGTTGCGTAGCCGAGGGCCAGCTACCCGAGGGTTTGACGCCCTTGACACGTCTGAGGATGTTGAGCCTAAGACAGCCACTGAAGGGAAGAAGAAGAAAAAGAAAAAGTCCAAAACTGATGACAGTGATGAGTAGTTATTTAGAATCTCGAATTTAATTGTGAATCTTATTTATATACGTCAATTGAGCCAATTGGGCCTCAAGTAAGCTTTTCACTTGTGGTAAATGCTGTCACATGTTATTAACCCCTTGCTGAGTTTACAGTGTAATGAGGTAATGGTTCATGAATATAACGGTATAGCTGTTGCAATTACATTCAGAAATTCAGATATAACCCTTACAACGCATATTGAGTATAGCTGCTGCAGGCCTGCAGTATTTATCTTTGGAAATTCAGGATGCAATTGACTTGAGAAAAACTCAAGCATCTCGGATAGAGGAGCAAGGAAGCATTGAAGAGAAGCTTATCACACTTCTGAATGGCTGAAGATATGTGTATTCGGTATTATATCTGACATTTGAGTTCGCAACATTGAAAAATTGAAATTATGCTACTGGATGTACGTCATATGGCTCAGCTACAGGTTAGTGAATATTCAAGAGCGTTATATGTTACTATTTGCTTGGAAATACAGTGCCAAAACTTTTAACAATGCTACCAATAGATCACTACTACTGTTCTAAAGAAACTGCAAAACTTGGTTTACTCGCCATGTCTTCTGATGAGAGGTCTCTCAGAACCTGTTCGACCTCATGAACTACCCCAAGTTTCCTGAACCACGCCGCAAGCAACTCAGAGGGCTCTTGGCCAATTGAAACACCGTTTTCTTCAAGCTCTGTCAAAAATTCCAGTGCTGTTTTTAACATGCTCACCTTCTCATAAGCGCCCAATACTAAGGCAATACATTTGTCACAAGGTTTGACTCCTGCACTTCTCATATTACGGATGGCACAAACAGCTTCATCGATTCGATTCGAGAGGCAGTAAGCATTCACCAGAAGTGCACACAATTTCGTGTCAGGCACTATCCCTGCAAACTGTATGGCATCGAAAATCCGCTGTGCGCCATCTGAATCGCCTCTGTATGAATAGGCTCTCAGCAATGCCTTGTAAACTTCCTTTCCTGCGAACATCTGCTGGTCCTCCATTTCTTTGATCAAATCTTCTGCTTCCTGCAACATGTCAGCCCTGATATAAGCCATGATCATCGAGCCGTATGCGCGCTTATCCAGTGGAAGACCGAGCAACATGATTTCTCCGAATATTTCCTTTGCGCGGGTCAGATCTCCGGTCTTACTGTACATGTCCATCAGTGCAGTCAGTATGACCTGATCACAAGGGAAACCTCTGCCTTTCATGGCGGCAAATGCATCCTCAGCTTTCTGCAGTAGCTTCTGCTTGCCATAGATGTGGATCAACTTGGTGTAGTCGCGAACATTTGCTTCGAAAGAATTTTCCAGCAATGCATGCTCCAGTACCTACCAAACATACCGGACCTTCGTTAAATTACTTGACTCATCAACTGGTCATGCTAAATTACTAGACTCATAAGCCTATTGCTAACAGAGTAACTGTCAACGCCTTAAAAATCAGAAGTCAGCAAACTACAGTTAGTGAGGAGATTGTGGGCAAAAGAGTAGTAATAATTTGAAACCTTGAAGTTTCAACCAAGCACAGCAGCAAGTTGAGAACATTTGGTCGAAATACACCACCAAACGATCTACATTCATTATGCTAACTGTCATAACAGCACACGATCCTTCAGAAGTTCAGAGTTCTAACAGACGACACGAAGGGAGATGCTCTCTGTCACTGACCTCTGCAAGCAGCGGGCTCTCCATGGCCTTGAGTTCCTTGAGAACCAGCAACCAATCCGCCCTCTTGGGCTTCATCGCTTTCACCCAGTACGCGAGCAACGCGCCAAGGCTCTCGTCCCCGGGGCACAGGCACACCACGCGTGCCACCAGGGCCTTGCAGCGGTTGGGCAGCTTCGGAGACAGGCCCCGAACCGCCCGCTGCTGTGGCTCGGTCAGGTCGGACCCGAACGTGTCCCACCTAAACCTTGGCCTGGCCTTGCTCACCGCCGTCTGCTCTGCCTCAGCCTCCGCGGACCGAGCCGACGACTCCCCGCCATGGCCACCGGACACGCAAGCGCATTGGCAAGTGGGCTTCCAGGGCTTCGTGGCTGTGGTGCTGGCGAGCTTGGCTCCCGCCGAGCGCAAGGCCGGGATGGCGAGGGAGGCCATGGGAGTGGGCGGGACGGCGCCGGAGAGGATGAGAAGGGGGGCGTGCTGTTGCCGCTTGGGGAAGACGAAGGCGCCTATCCTCATCGTAGATGCCTAATCACACGGGCGCTCGGTGTCCGGCTCGTGCACGACTTCTAACAGGTGGGTCCCACACGCGCCAGCGCCGCCAGATATAAATAAGCGGCTGTCGCGGCTCGGCCAGTCGGCCTGCTCCTCTTTCCTCCGTCTCTAGGGTTTGAGATTTTAGCCGCCGCCGCAGCCCATCTCACTTCCCCGAGCAAGTCGCAGCTGACGACTTACTTCTTGCCGATCGATACGATGGCCGTCTTCTCCGATCTCCACACCGCCGACGGCCTCAAGACTCTGGAGGCGCACCTCGCGGGCAAGACATACGTTTCAGGGTGAGCGCTGCTATACTTGTAGCTGATTAGATCTGTTGATTGGTAGCGATTTGTGCTTAATTACCCCGGTTGTCGATTATTAGCGCTGTTATGATGATGACCGTGATAAGAGATCTTGTTGTTTCCGCTTCAAATTTAGCAAATTTCTCTTGAGATGTCCACCGGCCACGGGGCACTGATTACTTAAGAGTTCTTGTGCTGCTGCCTGTGCAGTGATGCGATTACTAAGGATGACATTAAGGTCTTTGCGGCGGTGCCGTCGAAGCCTGGCGCTGAGTTTCCTAATGCAGCCCGCTGGTACGAGACCATCTCTGCGGCTCTAGCCTCAAGGTTCGATTTATTTCACTGATTGCAAATTTGTAATTGTAGTAGACTGATTTTCACTGGTTACAGATTCAGGTTTGATTTATTTCACTGATTGCAAATTTGTAAGTGTCGTAGATTGATGTCTTTCACTGGTTGCAGATTCCCTGGTAAGGCTGTTAGTGTAAATCTGCCTGCGGGATCAGCTCCCGCAGCAGCTGCTCCTGCTGCTGAGGTTTGTTCTCCCCATCCTAAGCCATATTACCCCACCTTTTTTTTGTTTATACCCATCTGTCTTATTGGTCAAGCAATGAGGCACTGCTGTTCTGTTCGATTTAGCATGGTACAATTTTCAATGATTGCTTAAGAAGAAACTCCAGTCGATCTATGTTTCTGATTTTTAGATTGTATTATAAATATCACTGTCTTCATCGTTGTGTGATTGATTGCATGCCAAGGATGCTTTATATCAATGCTTGTTTTTTTGTCGTCACTGTCTTCTGCTGGTGTAATCTCCTAACCGAAACTAAAGCCACTGTCTTCTGCTGGTGTAATCTCCTACAACAACAGCAACAACAAAGCCTGTCAGTCCCAAACAAGTTGGGGTAGGCTAGAGTTGAAACCCACCAAGAGCCCCTAGTCATGGTTCAGGCACATCAATAGCTGTTTTCCAAGCACTCCTATTCAAACATAGATCTCTAGGTATATCACAAGCTTTCAAATCTCTTTTTATTGCCTCCCCTCATGTCAATTTTGGTCTACCTCTACCTCTCCTCACATTATTAGCTTGGCTTAGGACTCCACAATGCACTGGTGCTCTGATGGTCTCCTTTGGACATGGCCAAAGCACCTCAACCGATGTTGGACAAGCTTTTCTTCAATTGGTGCTACCCTAGGCGGTCACGTATATCATCGTTCCTAACTCGGTCCATTCTTCTGTGACCACAAATCCATCTCAACATATGCATTTCTGCAATACTCAGTTGTTGAACTGGTGTAATCTCCTAACAACAACAACAAAGCCTTTAAGTCCCAAACAAGTTGGTGTAATCTCCTAACTGAAACTAAAATCTTGAAGTAGTAGCGGAGTTTGAGGATGCTCTATATCAATGCATTTTTTGTCTTCACTGTCTTCTGATGTAATCTCAACTAACTAAAACTAAAATCTGGAAACCGTAATGTAGTTTGTCATAGGTTTGATTCTCATTGCTTTAACATTTTTTATGTTGTTGAGTTATCCTTGTTGAAGTAAGCTTTTAATTCTTTACAGGCTGAGGATGATGATGACCTTGATCTTTTCGGGGATGAAACCGAGGAGGACAAGAAGGCTGCTGATGAGCGCGCCGCTGCCAAGGCCTCATCCAAAAAGAAAGAAAGTATGCATAATTTTCAGTTAGGAGTGTTAACCTATATTGTTCCTTTTAATCACTTGGAATTGTTGCAGAAGTTTGACGTTTAGGTCTTGTTAGTGTTTCTTATAATCACTTGGAATTCTTGCAGAAGTTTGACTTTTAGGTCTTGTTACTTATTTATGGCTTTACATATATTTACAGGTGGTAAATCATCTGTCCTTATGGATGTCAAACCATGGGACGATGAAACTGATATGAAGAAGCTGGAGGAGGCTGTTCGCAGTGTCCAGATGGAGGGTCTCACTTGGGGAGCATGTAAGTTACTTGTTTCTGTCTGCTTACTATGCTATGCTACCGATTTGCCTGTATTAACCATTTGGCATAAACTTGGAATACAACAAAGCTTGTGTCTGTATTAACCATTTGACATGAACTTGTGATACAGCAAAGCTTGTGCCTGTTGGATACGGCATCAAGAAGCTGACTATTATGTTGACGATTGTCGACGATCTTGTGTCCGTCGACAGCCTAATTGAGGATCACCTTACGGAAGAGCCAATCAATGAGTACGTTCAGAGTTGCGACATTGTTGCTTTCAACAAGATCTAGAGTTCAAATACTGAGATTGGGCAACAGCCAGCAGCGCTTAAAGTTTGTGCTGGGATGCGAGAGTTTATCCCTTCTAGTTACCTTGTTATAGAAATGTTGGTTGGAGTTTATTGTTGAGTGCTGCCAGATTTTTGAATATCTGTTTATCTTGAAATAGCGGAACTGCTGGGCGATGTTATGTGTCTGAAGTTATGAGTTTACAATGGTTCTGCGTCTAAAGTTAATGAGTTCTCTTTGCAATGCTTAATTTTAAATGATGCGGGGTTTTAATCTAAAATGGTGTGTTTTAATCCATCCTCGATATTATATCACTCGTATCGATATTGTATCTGTTTTTTAATCCACAAGTATTGGCTGTACTCGTATCCATATTATATCTGAATCCACTCCACACATGGGGGACGATTCTCTGTTTCTTTGTCCATAATGATGGTTTAATCACAAGTCTTGGCTGTACTCGTATCCATGTTATATCTGAATCCACTTTACTTATGGAAGACGATTCTCAGGTATATATGGAAGACGATGGTATATGGAACGCAAAAGCTACTGTTAAGAGACTCCTCGCTCCACTCATTGCCGCATGCGCCGCTAGTCTACAGAAACAAAATCAACTCCCGACTCCTCGCTCCACTCATTGCCGCATGCGCCGCTAGTCTACAGAAACAAAATCAACTCCCGCACGTCTCGCTCCGCTCCCGCCCTTACCCTTTCCATGCTTCTCATCCCCTATCGCAGCGCACAAACACTAGCGTCCTCCAGTACCCGCAGATCCGGCGGGCCTCTCCCCTACCCCAGGCGAGATTCACTCGCCTCCGACGAGATCCATGGAGGTGGCACGGTGGTGTTGCAGGGAAGTGGGTGGCTCTCCACCCCCGGTGTGACGCCCTCCTCACCCTCGACAGCGCCGTCTCTCACCCGAGCGACCAAGCTCCCCCACCCCTGGCGGCCATGGCGCTCCTCGCCCCCATCCCCCATCGTCATTGTCGAGCCAAGCCCGATACTAGTGGCAGTGGTGCTCGTGCGCTGCCGGCTCCGACCCCGACGGCTAGAATCGACCAGCCCAGGCTTCCCCCCTGTGTTGGAAATATATGCTTTAGGTGTTTTAGTCGTTTTAAAGGTATGTTGCAGTTGTTTCTTATGGATGTTGCAAAAGTAGATCGGGGGATGTTGCATATGTTGTATATGTTGTACGTGTTTTAGAAGCATGTTGCAAGCGTTGGTTAAAAATATTTTATCTGTTTCCAGACGTATGTTGCAATCATTTTTTATGTGGATGATGCATATGTTTTCATACATATGTTACAGCAGTATGTTCCAAATGTTTCAACCGTTTCAGTCTTATGTTACAGTAAGTGTTTTTCATGTTGTAATTGTTTTATCTAGATGTTGCATATGTTTCATACACATGTTGCAAGCGTATGTCCCAAATGTTGCATCTGTTTCAAATGTATGTTGCATTTGAGTGTTTCATATTGCAAGTGCAGACCATCGGCGTTGGTGTCCATGAGGACGGGCAGGGCCAAGCGCGGCCACAGACGTGTGGAGGAGGCGCAGGCCGCCGCCGGCGGTGTAGGAAGGAGGCATAGGTCGCGCGGGCTGTTGTGGAAGAGGCGGGGGCGAGTCTTCCGGGCGGCCTGGAAGAGATGGGCGCTGCGCTGGTGTGGAAGTGGCAGGGGCGAGTCATTCTAGCAGCGTGGGCAGCGGGTCTGAAGCAGACGGTTCGGATGCAGGCGTGGAAACGGATCTGGCGCGGGTGGCGCGAGAATCCAAGCAGATGGGGCGAAGCAGCCATGGCCGTCCGGATGTCCGGGCGCCGGTGCTATCGTATATGGAAGATGATTCTATGTTGGAATACGATGGTATATGCACCACAATGGTTAGTAATTAAGCATGGTCTAAAAATGAACTTACAATGCACCATTTAACAACTTTAGAAAATCATGCGATGCACCATTTAACAAAATTAGGGACTCAAAATTATAATATTGCCTATCTCACAAAAGTAAATAGATTGCCGCAGTCCGTTCGAGGATAATATTATATGAATGGTATTTCGAGTGTTGTCAGTGTCTACAAGGATGCAAGTATGTAACCACCTTGGCAATGACTAATGATACATACTACCTCGCTCTCAAGTCTCAAGTAGAAGATGAAGGCAACCTGCGCAGGCCTATCCTCCCGTCGCATGATTCGCCAACAGTTTCTTTCTATCTTGTATAAGAACAGGCGATCTCCATCCTCATTAAGGCCCGTTCGTTTATGTAAATATGGCAAACAATCCGGCCAGGAACGGTTCCAGGAGCCGTTCTGTGAGAACTGAACGGACCCTAAGTCTGCAGAAAAGCTGGACAGTGATTCGGTGAGCAGTGTTGCATTACTCTCTTTTTTCATTTTGGGAAAAAGTCTACGTCCCTCAATTTTTGTGAGTTTATTTTTCCTCCCTAAACTCTAAAACCGAGTAGACCACCTTCCTAAACTTTTAAAACCATTCGTTTTACCTCTCTAACTAGTTATATGTGGTTTTTAAAGGCGTTTTTGTGTTTTTTTTATTTATTTTGGCTCAATATTTGAAAAATTATAATAAATCATAAAATAAAAAATCCAATGTCGTTGGACTCTACATGAGTAGATTTACACAGTGAACATATAATATGGTATGCTTTAGTATAATTTTTTGCTGTAGCTTTAGATCTATGTTTTTCTATAATTAATTCATAGCTGTAGTTTTTATGGTCTAATTATGGTGAAATTTTTACTTTGGACTAATTATTATATGCTTGAAATATAGTAAAAATTTCATACTAATTGGATCACGTATAACTTAGCAGATTTATTTAGGTGTAAGCTTGTTAAAAAATATTTATAAATCTATAACTTAGTTATACATGATCCAATAACTATGAAATTTTTACTACAATTCAATCATATAATAATTAACCCACCATAAAAATTTCACTACAATTGGACCATAGAAAATGCAGCTATGAATTAATTATAGAAAATCATATATCTAAAGCTACAACGAAAAATTTGTACTAAAAATACCATATTATATATTTACTGTGTAGATCCACTCATGTGGAATCCAACAAAATTAGATTTTTTATTTTATGATTTTATTGTGATTTACTATGATTTTTCAAAGATTCAGCCAAAATAAATAAAAAAGAAAAAGACAAAACCGCCTTTGAAAACCGCTTTAACCGGTCAGGGTGGTAAAATGAATGGTTTTATAAGTTCAGAGAGATGATTTACCCGGTTTTAGAGTTCAGAGAGAAAAACATACTTTCGTAGAAGTTGTGGAGGTAACATGGACTTTTTTCTTCTTTTTGAGTAGTGTCTGATTTCATTTGGGGCCCAATCAGTCAACCACCTCTCAGCCCACGGAAGGAAATCCCGACCCGTCCTCTGGGGCCCAGGGCCCATGCGGCCCAACCAGTGGTTCCCGTCGTCCTTCTCTCGCCCACCCGAACTCTTCCCGAAACCCCATCGCCGCCACTCCACGCCCGACGCGCCGTTCCAACCGCGCCGCGCTGCAACCCGCCGCCGTCCAGCTCCCTTCTGCCGCCGCCTCGCCTAGGGAGGCCACCGCTAGGAGCGCACGCACAGGCACCTACCTCCCCTACGGCCTGCCGCCCTGATCCAGTTAGCTAGCCATGGCGGAACACCCCGAGAGAGACCAGTTCACGGACGAGGAGGAAGATGACTTCCTGGAGGACGGCGAGCAAGGCATTGGAAGCGAGGACGAGGATGAAGGAGGGGAAGGAGCGGGGGGCAAGAGGAAGCGGCTGGGGAATAGCCTGGGCGGGATCGGCAAGCGTGGGGTGTGCTACCTCAGCCGCGTCCCGCCGCACATGAACCCGTCGCACATCCGCCAGATGCTCTCCAAGTACGGCGAGGTGCTCAGGATTTACCTCGTGCCTGAAGGTAACCAGCTACCTGAAATCGATGCTCGCGTTCTCTTCTGTTTTGGTGGGCGTAGGCGTAGCTAGCTGCAGAGCGTAGTGCATATTTCAGGAGCTTATTAATCCTATTGCGTGGTAGCCTTCATCGTCTGATGTGGTTGGATTATGGGGGTGACACTCAATTTTCATGTTGCTTGTGCTGCTTCCATTTGTGAAAATGTAGTTCTTGATAGAGGAAAAATATCAACTTCAGGGCTGTTTGTAACGAAGGAATCCAAAACACAGGAATAGGAAAAAACGCAGGAATAAGGTATGATGAAAAGTGAAAAACTACGGGATTTCAAAACACAGGAACAGAAAATTTAGGCTGTTTGGAACACAGGAATTGTAACATGTTAGGCAAATATGGGTACTTATCAGTGCAAGCTTCAAATTAGCAGAGATTGGACAGTGACGTGCACAAGCTAGCCCAACGTCTAAGCAGCGTGGTTGTCTCCTACTTCGTGAAGGAAGAGCAAACCTGAGTTCTGATTGGATTTTTGTTTTCCTTTGAAACGAGAAGCCTGCAACAGTGTTCCATAGGAAAGGAACCAGAGAATCCTTTAATCCAAACGCTATTCTCAGGAAACTTTCCTCTGTTTTTGTTTCCTCTACTTTTCCTATGAAAATACTCCATTCCAAACAGGTCCTCAGTGCCTCACTGCATGGTGTTAATTGTGGTTTCCATACTAATTGAAGTGCATGTTGCCACAACAGTACACCGATTTCCTTTTTTTCTTTCTTTGATGTGTTAGAACTTAGATGTCTGATTTAAGGGAAAAATCACTTCAGCTTCTCTTTATTGGTCATGTAACATAGCTTATTATTTTTCTCAATATATGACATTAAGAACTTAAAAATATAACCATATTAGTTTTTCAATGTTTGCCGATTAAAAGTCTCTTATATATTCATATATGTCATGCCCACCTTCAGGTCAAGGTCATCGGAAGCATACTACTGTTAAAGCGAAGGCTTACGCCGAAGGGTATGTTTGGACAGGACACACACACACAAAAGACAGATGCACTGCTTTGAAGAACTTTGCATTCCTCATCTGAAATATTACTCTAGAAGTAAAGCATGTGCAATATTCATACCAGCACCAGCTTTAGTGCATTTGTGAATAGTTTTACTGAAGCCTCCAAACATTTTCTAGTGTTCTCTTGAATATTTGTACGTACTCATTCTGCTACCAAAATCTTTTAGGTGGATTGAATTTGCGAAGAAGAGTGTTGCCAAGAGAGTGGCTAATCTGCTTAATGGTGAACAAATAGGTGTGTTCTCGTTGCCATTTTATTCTTCTTTGCTATTATTTGTTTTGTAGTTCTATGTATTATTATGTATGACCCCCCTGCCTTTTGCCGCCCCATTTTGTACACTTGTTGACCGTCAGCCTGTTTGAAGGGGTATTAGATGTATAGCTCTTTCACAGAGATCATAGTATATGTGCTTTAGAGCTTGTATTTTACTTGGCAACCACTGGACAATAATCTCTGCTGATGTTGTACGTTATTAGGCGGGAAGAAGAGATCTCCATTTTATTATGACATTTGGAACATTAAATACCTCAGGAAGTTCAAATGGGATGATCTGGTTGGTGAAATGGGTATGTGAAAAGTCCAAAATATAAAAGTTATTTAAACTTCTGGTGAAAGTGCTTGATGATTAGAATAGTTTTCCAAGTTTTATAATCCTTTGAATTAATGCAGCTGAGAAAACTCACATCAGAGAGCAGAAGTTAACCTTGGAGATAGCAGCAGCAAAGAAACAACGTGATCACTACCTGTCCAATGTTGAAAAGTCTCGCGCATTGAAGCACATTCAAGAGCGCATGAAAAAGGTTCGTCGTATTTTGCATACATACAAGATATGGAGATTTTTTTGTGTTGCTGTTTATCTGTTGGCTCTAGTCTGTATACTTGTTTGTGCCCCTTAATCCATACTCATATTAGATGATTTTCTCATTGATTCTTTTTTTGTTTAATCCACAAAGGAACAATCGCCAATGTAAAGTATCTGGCCTCATTGTTCTATTGATTATGGTCGAACTGGTTGTTATATGTTTGTCCTGTTATATGCTCTTTATGACTCAGTTTAGTAATGAAATCTTATAAACTTGCTGTGGTAGAATCATGTTTCTCCTATCCTAGGGAGATGCAATTGCCATGGACTATACTGTCACAGTGACTTTCCTTCAAATTTTATAAACGTGTTATCCTGGACTGAAACAGAAGCAGAAGACAGAAGGAGCAGGAGCCAGTAATGCCCCAGAAACAAAAACTGCTCGTCCAATTCCTCAAAAGAAACCAGTCGGGGAGACTGATGCCAAAACTAAATCTACGCTTTCAAAAGACATTTTAGCTGGTGTAAGTTTCAGCTCTCATGGAAATGTGTCTCAAAATTCTTGTGTCCACCAGTTATTATTAACAAACGTCATGGTATTGCAGGTATTCGGGGGTTCATCATGACCGCGTCGTATCTCTCAGTGTGGGTTGGTGCACGCCGAACTGAATGGAGTAGTGCAAGATCATAGAGCTCATATCGTACTTCCAACTTTTGTAGATGAAGTCGCGTTTTTTTGTTGTGGGTAAGTAGGAACTTTCAGAAACATTTTGTTCTGCTGATATGCCCTGGAAGGTTTTCTGGGACCTGGCGATTGAATGTGAAAGGACTGTTGATTGCCAGCGCCTGTTGACCGAAATCTTTGTAAAACTGAAACGCATGCTCTCTGGTAGTTGAAACAAATATCATGAGCAGCTGTCATTGGCATTATCCCCTGCCTGGGATTTCAGTGCCTCAGCTTGCAGCCTATGCTGTGTGCGCTAGAAGATGACGGAAGAGACACGAGGGAACATGAGCGGGTGGGATGAATAGATGGTGGGTGATTTCTTATTGCCGGAGGAATGGAACATGGTGCTGTGGTCATTAGATTTAGATCCAAGCTGGTGAAAGACAGTTCGCTTGGCTGATAAGTTATGATTGAAAGTATCGTTGGCTGATTTGTTGTGAGAGAAAAATATTGTTCGTTGACTGAAAAAATACGGCTTATAAACCCAGCGAACATGACGAAGGTTGTGCAAGCTGACAACCATGGTCACCCAGTGGAGGCAAAAAAAAAAAAAAAACCGCTGAAACTTTTTCTCAACGTCATCTTGCGTGATCCCATCGACCCATAGTTTTGGAACGTTCCAATATATACCTGAGAGGTAGACTCGAACTAATAACAATAAGAATAATAATAGGAAAATGAAATTAATTACATTAAGCTACTGTACCATCAGTAAATGTTGTCTAGGCTTCCGGGCCTCCGTATCGCTGGTGTAGCTTGTCTTGGGCTCTTCTTCTGCTTCTGGTGTGCTTGGTGTTGCAGCCAGTTTAGTGACACTCCCTAGGGCATTTTATACCTCCACCGCATCCATCTTAATCATGGGTGTTTTATTCTTTCTTGCGTCCCGACGATCATGCCACCGCCCACCGGCGCAAACGAGGATAAACAGATTTAATGATAGACGTTCTATGTTTTCTTGCGTCCTCGACGATCATGCCACCGGTGCAACCACCTGCCACTGGTGCAACCACCGTGCGAATGAGGATAAACAGATGGCCAATCAAGATTTGGACCATTATTTACCAATGTCGCGCCTTGAAACCCAATCCAGATATACTTTGAGCCACAATCCATCGATGTACACAGACCTTACATGACCCTCACCAATGCTGGATGGACCACCGAGAATAAACAAACACTCCCTCCCTCCCTCTCTCCCTCAGGCGTCCCTAATAGTTTCTAAATAGCTAGTCTAGAAAAAAATTTATTGGATTTTAAGGAGAGAGATAAAATAGCTAGCGACTTCCAAATAACAAGTCTAGCACGATCTCTTATAAACAACTTTCTCACAGCTCAAATAACTATTCACTATAATGTTCTTTTATTATAATTTCTAAGCCCAATCTAACTAACTATTTGAAAGTTGCCATTAAGGATGCCTGAGATGCCACTAGCTACTTCTTTCTCCTGCCTACACCCTCTCTCCCCCTGTCGACGAAATTTGGTCGGCAGTCTACCAAGGGGTATGTAGATAGTAATACAAGCACCGAGATACAAGATTTAGACAGGTTCGGCCGTCAGTATGACGTAATACCTACATCCTGTGTTCCGATGTATTGCATTGAGATATGTGGAGATGCCCACTACGGGACCCCTGTCTCTCCTTATATACTCTTGAGGGTAGGGTTACAAGAAAAATATCATATTTGGTATTATACAATAAATCATATCTTCTTATAGCCTTGCGGTGTACGCCTTGATCTTGTGGGCTGGACCACCTTTGGGGCGTGACCCATGTCTTGTCTCGTGGGTACCGGGGGTATATCCCCCACAGCTAGTCCCCGAACGTCTTGTATCCTTTGAGCAACGCCATCTTGAGTTTGTCCGAGCTGTCCAACTTGCTGCTAATCACTAGAGACAGGCTTCTGACCAGTTTAACTGTGAGCCAAGCTGTTGAAACAAGCATCCGAGCTATTAACCAGGCGTCCGAGCAGTTGAAAACGGCGTCCGAGCAGTTGAAGCAGATGTCCGAGCAGTTCAACTAGGAGCTAGGCTTGGACTTACTCGAGCAAAGTTTGCCGGAAGGATATAAGGGGCTCAACATAAAAATTGAAAAATCTCCACCTTAGACGAAGTGTAGCCACTTAGACTCCTTAGTGAATAAGGAGGGTAAATTAGAAAAAAAGTACTACATTCACCGCTAGGTGAAGTATAGCCACTTAGTCCCCAAGCCTGCTGGAAGATAAAAAATAAATTTTGTAGCAGGGTCAAAGAATTTTAATGAAAGCTTGCCAACGTCGTCTATCATGTACTTATCAAGACCCCGAACGTGCTGCCAAGATCAGTACCCTGATCCGAACAGCATGGAGCAACTTGATAGCACACCGATGAGACGTAGCAAAATCCAAATGCCAAGGGAGTCCCCAGCTTAGCTGGTGACTCTTGCACGAAGAATCCAAGGGCCGAGGAGTCCCCAACATAGCTGGCAAGTCCTCAGCGTAGCTGTCGGTGAAACCGAAGTGACGAGCAATATGACCAACGGGTTGGTGATAAGCGCCGAGCAGTCCAACCAACTGGTCGACGGTGAAGTGAATGCCTGAGCGGAAGTGAGCGTCGAACAGTCCAATCAACTGGTCGATGATAAAATCCATGAGCCGAACAGTCCGACCAATTGGTCGGTGGTGAAGTCCGAGTGCCAAGTGGCACGACCACCCAGACGATGATCCTCTTGTCCTTCCTGACGGATTTAGTCCCCGAGCGTAAGCTCGTTGACTAAACCAGGCCCCTGAAATAAAAATATGTAGAACAGGTAGTTCATGATGTAAAAATAAAATGTATAAAACCCGGAGAAAAATCAACAGTGATGAAATAGCGTATGCAGCTCGGTGATCAGTTGTAGATGAACATTATGTTCATTTTTGGATGAAGTGTTTATATTTAATATAAACCATCCGAACAGTTATTTTGTAGCTGAGTCTCCAGCCCTAGCTAGCCCGTTAACCATAACGTGGAGCGCGGAGCCCGTGTGCGTATAGGAAGAACAAAGTGTCATCAAGGAGCCGTTGCCTACCACCCGTAACGCTAACGTAGAGGGCAGACGCTCGTGCACATGTAGGGAGAAGCCAGAGACAGGGCCATCTCTGAGGACATCCGAGCGTCAACATGACTATTTGGGGATTTATTGAGTCAAAAGTGCGTGTCATCTTTAAGATGGTATACGTGGAGAAAAAAGTTGTTTGGAGAATGATTATGGAGAAAGCAGCATGGAGAGACATCGAAGACATATGAAGATTAGAGAATATTTAGAAGAATATTAAAGCGTGACTTAGCTTGATTGACGCCGAGTGGAGTAGAGGAGTTGGCGAGTCATGATGTCCTTGCATGCCTGAGATACATGAGGTTGCTTGCATGGGTGTAGATCCAGATGCATATGTGCTTGTATATCTCTTCAACTACTCCAATTAGCTTGTACGGCCGACCAACAGCTTTGGTGGAAACACCGCTCCACATCGCGTTATCGCCGACCGCCTTTCCTAATTGCTAGTTGTCGTGATCTGCGGAAACGATCTTACGTATCTGATAAAAAATCGCGAGCAACAACAAGATGCGATTAGGTTTCTCCCAACCGAAATCATGCGAACATACAGGTATATCTGGAAGTATAATAACAATATTTAATTAGAAAGCGGCTTGACTTAGCTTTCTTAGATTGTTTGACTCCGATCTTGTTGTCGTGTGTTGCGTCTGTTGGAGGTGCATGGCAAGGCGTCGGACTCCAGCACGTGCGGCCGTTCGCCGAGGAAAGCAATCCGCTGCATGCTAGCGTCGAGTTGCCGCCGAATGCCGAGTTGCCGGCAACGTTGATGGAAGAAAAGATTCCCATCTGGTTCACCATAAAATTAGCACGCACATCCCCTACCTGGCGTGCCACTGTCGACGAAATCTAGTCAGCAAACTACAAATGGGTATGCCCACGGTAGTAGATGAATCGGTGGAGGTGCACGAGATACGAACTAGATGGTAATACAAGCACCGAGACACAAGATTTAGACATGTTCGGCCGTCACGTAATACCTATATCCTGTGTTCCGATGTATTGCATTGAGATATGTGGAGATGCCCACTACGAGACCCCTGCCTCTCCCTATATATTCTGGATGGGTAGGGTTACAAGAAAAATATCTTATTTGGTATTATATAATAAATCATTTTTTTAACCTTACGGCGCCTGAGCTGGGCCACTTTGAGGCGCAGCTCATGTCTTGTGGTTATGGGTACCGGGGTATCCTCCTCCTCGGCTCTGTTGGCCGCCACTGAGGACTCCTACGCTGCCGGCTAGTTAATTTCTACGTCCATGAAAGATGCCTCGCCAACCTGTTATCTCTTCTTGGCTTTGGGCTCCTCTGACCACCGGTGCAGCCAACCTCTCCCTTTTCCTCCCACATCAGCTGCCTATGGCCACATGATCATCGTTGGTGCTAGTGGTTGCCAGATCCTCCGAATTAGATCCGTTGTAGACCAATTTCGACCAGAGCTCCATCCTTGGCATGGCTGTTGCCAATTGTGCGAAAGGTGAGAAACAAAGCGAGAGAGAAAGTGATGATGGCTGCAAGTGGAACATCATGAGTGACATAGAAATCCATGAGCCTTAGGTGGAAACAAGATACAACTCTTCTCTTTTCTTTTTCTCTCTCTTCTATATGTATAAGCAAAATGCTAAGCAGGATATCCTAATTTTGCACATTCATGAGGCATATCAATCCATCATGCACGTAAAAAGAAATTTTTAACTGAGGGGTGCATAATACATGCATGTTTTCATAGTTATTAATACAAATATATGTGCTGATACATCTGCCATGCAAAAGAGAGATCTGAATTGAAAAAAAAAACAAATGAATAAACTAAATGAATTATAACTAGAAATACTAGCTGGAATGTTGTTTTTTTGGTCTCAACCAAGCCGTGCATGCCTCACGCATACAAGCTTTTCCTCGTATATATGCAGATAGAGACACACCTGCCAAGCACTTGAGACACCCGAATTGAAAAAAAAGGCAAATTTGATGACAAATGAAAAATCAAATGGTAACAGCACTGCTGAAGGTTGGCACCCAAGACGAAAGATCCACCTCGCAGGGACAATACACTTTGTATGACAACCGACGTTCCGAAGAGAAGCACCTGACAATCTTCTTGGGGTGCAGACCCATCCAGAGCAAACAGCAGCCATGAGTCTCGAGGAGCACGGCGCCGCTCCTCTCTCCGAACCACAATAGCTCAGGACCACACATGGTCCTCGTCCTCCTCGTCCCTCCTTCCCTCCCGAAGATCTTGACCATGTCGTCGTTGCACCGCAGGACGGCCTCCTTCACTTCGTCGTTGAACCCCAGGATTGCCTCCCTCTCTATCACCACCTGCGGCCGCGCCTTCCACAACTTGGTCTTGGTGCGCTTGCACTGCTCCCACGCGCGTATATTCTTATTCTCGGCGTCGGCGACGAGCACGACCGGGCTCCCTCCAGCCGAATCCGTCGCCAAGAGGTAGCTACGTCTCCCGGGGGCGTCGCCACGGGGGAAGCTCGCCGGGAGAGCCGTCTCGCTCACCCGCGCCGCTCTCACGTGGAGCATCAGCACGTAGCTCCCGACGTCGGTCAGGTACAGCCAGTGCACGACGTCGCCGACTACCAGGACATTTCGCCGCGATGCCCAGCAGATGTACCTCCCGTGTATGTTAGGCGTCGGGATCTCCGTGAGCGGGGACCACGCGCCGTGCTCCGACGAGAAGGTATGGACCATCAGGCGACGGTAGTAAGGGTTTCTCTTCGACAACACTAGCTTCGCCTTGAGCACTTGAAAAGGCCGTGGACCGCGGCACCTCCCTCGCCGTCGCTGTCGCGGACGAGCAGCACGTACTTTACTTCCGTACTCTGGCCAGCATGCGGCGGGAACGCCGGTTCCGGCGGGAGATCCTGGCGTCGACGGGTGGCCGGGTTGCACACGAGCAGCTGGTCATGCTGCCGTTGCCACGGGTGAGCCTGAGACGTCGCTGTGGCGCGAACGAGGACGAGGCCGCCGCGCGAGTCCACGGGCACGGCGTCCCTCCTCAATGTCTCGGTTTCGGCGAAGGTGGCCCTGACGAGACGGGTGGTGTCCGCCGCCGTGGTGGCTACCAGGTACAAGTCGGTCTTCTCGTTGCCGTCGTCGTCGTGGGTGTCCATCCCCGCCAGGTGGCCGCGCAGGAGCGGGAGGAGGAACCGGCCGGTGTCGCGGAGGCGGAGCCGGGCGCGGAGGTTTGGGTCCTCGGCGACGCGGCGGCGCGAGCCCCTGCACGTGGCCGCGCACCGCACGAGGGTGGCCGCGTCGGAGCGCGCCGCGATCTCCACGATGACGTCGAGCGGGAGGCACGCCGCTGCCTTGTGTCTCCGCCGCCCTCCTCTTGGCTGCCGCGCACGCGGCGAGACCGGGACGTCGTCGCCGTCGTCGCCGCCGCCCGCCATGAGTTTAGTGCGTGGATAGCTAGGTTTTGCATGCCAATATGATCCTGGTTTTGCGTGGCAGTATAACAACTTTTTGCGGCGCCGCGGCGTGCAAGTAGTTGGGCCTAGCTGATTATTTTTTGTTCGGTAATGCTGCAGCTAGGGCGTCCGTCCACCCACATGCTTGCTTCCTAGGCCCGCGGATCGGCCCAAGCAACCTGCTCCCTTCTACCAAATCAACTAGACGCTTCGATGGCTTCTAAAAAAACTAGAGGATGCAGCATTTTCCCACTCTGCCTCCCAGCGTTATTCTCCACCGCCACACCCGCACTGCCCGCTTGTCGCGGCCGCCTCCACCGAGCCGGCTAGCCTCCATGCCGCCACCGGGGTCGGGTCGCTCGTCGGTGTCACTGGCTGCTGGGCCAACCTAGCAGCAGCCACGCAGGCGCCCGAACGCCACATGTGGCCAGGCGACTAGGAAAAGGGGTCGTCGATGGCTAGGCCCAGGCTGCGCCACCGTCCTCGGATGTCGGCTGGCCAGAACGGGCCATTCCCCGCTCTGCTCTGCGTCGTATGGAAGAAGAACGGTTAAAACGCATGTTGCAAGCGTATGTTTCAAGTGTTTCAGATGTTTCAGGGGGTATGTTGCAAGTGTTTCAGATGGACGTTGCAAAAGTAGATCGGGATATTGCATATGTTGCAATGGTTGTACACGTATGTTGCAAGTGTCTGTTCCCAATGATTTATCTATGTTTTTAGACGTATATTGCAAGCGTGTTTATCTGTATGTGCATATGTTTTTCACACATATGTTGCAAGTGTTTTATCTGGATGTTACGTATGTTTGCAATGGTTTTCAAGCGTTTTTTCAAGTGTTTCAGAGGCATTCAAGTGTTTTATCTGTCTTTAGACCTATGTTGCAAGTGTTGTATCTGAATGTTTCAAAAATAGATCGGGTGTTGAACATGGGATGCACGTGGGAAACACGAGGGGGCGCGAGCAGTCCCCGTGCGCAGTCCAGCGGCACGGGTGACGTCCAGGCGGTGTAGGCCCCGTGTGGGCGCGCAAAACACGCGCGTGCGGAGGCGTGTTGGCTCAAGCGTGGGCGTGGAGTGCAGGCGTGCGCGGGAAACAGAGTGCAGTGTGGACGTCCGTCCGGACGTTCGGGCGCTAGCACTACCGTTTTCTTTGTTTCATTTGGGCCGCAATGTGTATATTTGTGTGCCAATATAACAATCCTGAGGGCTGAGAACACCATGGTCATGGACGACGACGAGGGATGACATTGAGGTTTTGTTTTGATGTCTATGTTTCTATCTCAATCCATGTGTATTAGAGTTTAAATACCATCTCGATCCATTCCAACACAAAGATTGAGATAGATACACGAACATCCAAACAAGTTCAGAGAGTAGACATGGATATCACCTCTCGAGCTGGGATATTGTTAGTATGATGAAGGAATTTGGTGGGTTAAATATATATCCCTAATAACTTGAGGGAGCTAAACATGTGTCTACTAGGATCCTAGATCAAGAGATACCAGCTTGATGGTAACAAGCTTTGGAAGATACTTATTGGTCACAAGTATAACGCTAATAGGACTAACCTGTTTTGTAATTCTGCGCTCCATAGCCATAGATATGTGCATAATGCGTGCTGTTTGACCTTTTTGACTCAATACCTAATTGTCGCATGTGAAATGGAGATCATAAGGATCTTGTCACTTGTGTATTGTTCGACCATCTCAACGACCTGCTTACATCGAGAAAATTTATGCCATGGCCTTGTAGCATTGTTATCTCTCCTCATGTATGTTGTCTATTGTTGTCTGTTCTTGTTTTCGTGTATGTTACTGGTATTTACGCTCTTTTCTGACTTTACTATCTTTGTATCTCTGGGTCCATAATCTAACCTAAGTAAAAAGTAAAAAATGAGAAAAATTAATCACCTGTTTTATACGCTGCCATCTAGTATTTGGCATAGACCGATGCTTCCACCACCTCAGGTTCGAGACGACTACGGAATGGATCAACGAATTGTCTCTAGCTAGGGATGCAAGGTAGGTTGTCTGCGAACCCACTAATAGGTTTAGCCCTTTTTAGTTGGAGAAATTTAGATTTTGGGGCTATTGTAGCACGTTCGTTTTTATTTGGCAAATAGTGTTCAAACATGGACTAATTAGGCTCAAAACGTTCGTCTCGCAATTTCCCACCAAACTGTGCAATTAGTTTTTATTTTCGTCTATATTTAATGATCCATGCACGGGCCACAAACATTCGATGTGATAGGTACTGTAGCAACTTTTTGAAAGTTAAGGTGGAACTAAACAAGGGCTTAATTTTTGTAGGTTGTCTGCGAACCCACTAATAGGCATAATTTTTACAGGTATGCAAGTAACCCTTAAAATTTAGCATTTTTTTGGGTTGACACTATCACAACGATAAAAGCAGATTGCGAAGCAATAGTGGATGCTTGATATCACGAGCAAGTACACCTAGAATTGGATATACTTCTCGACGTGTCTTCCATTTCCTCCATGATAAGATCTCAGTTTTATCAGAACCAACTTTAGGAACAAGTGGTAGTTCTGCTATGTATTTGTCCAAGTAAAGCTTTTGGACATGGCACACATGCCAATTAAGTGGATTAAATGAAACAAGAAGAAATACCAGCCAAAATGTTTTCTTTTTATAGTTCGAGGGGCAAAACAGCTCCGGCCTTTTTACTATTTTTTGATATCCCTTTTTACTATTAGGGAGCTGTTGTGAGCTGTTTTTTTTTGTCAAACATTTATTTCCAAAACAGCTTCAACCATAAAGCTGTTTTTCTCCTCCTCTCACAAAGACATGAGTTAGTATGAAGCTGAAAATAGTAGGTCATTCCAGCTTCATCTCTCATATGTGGACCCCACGGTACACAAAAGACTCATTTTGCCCCAGGAGAGAGAGTGCACGCACGACGGAGGCGACGGGGCAAGGCTCGCCGGTGAGCAGGAGCACGGATGTCGATGCAGGGGCGTGGCCACCGGGAAGCGGGGCCGTGGCCGCCGAGGAGCCTAGGGTGCGCTGCCGTCGACGGGCCGTGGCTGGCTGGGGGTCGCCGAGCGCTGGGGCATGGCCGCCGGGGAGTCGAGGCACGGTCGTTGGGGAGCCAGTCATGGTGGGCGGGCGCTGGCGCCGAGCCGAGCCATGGGCGTGGCGTCGGTGTCGGTGAGGGCAAGCAATGAGCTGACCCGTCGGGAGCTGACCTGGCGACCAAGAGAGAGAGAGAGAGAGAGAGAGAGAGAGCATGCTCGGCCGAGGTAGGTGTCGGCGCCGCCGAGGCATGGCCTGCCGGGGCATGACTTTCGGGCGCAGCTGCCGGCAGTGCGGCCCGCCGAGGGCGCGGGCCATCGACAGATGCACCGCTGCTGGGGCCGCGGACTGTCGGGGGGAGGGGGGCGCCGACATGCACGTGCCCGGGCGCGAGGTCACGGCTCGTGGCGTTGCGTCGCGTCGCGGTTCATAGCGTTGCGTCACGAAGATTGTAGATGCGTACGTGAAGAAGACGAGAAAATAAAAAAGAAAAATAGAGATAAGGATATTATAGTAATTTTATTTATTTGGTCTACTGTGTGAAGCTGTTTTGTCAGACAGCTTTTTCCAAATAACTCAGCTTCATCTAGAGAGCTGCTTATAAAGCTATTTTGCAAAAAAAATAGCTTCACTAGTGAAGCTGAGCTATGCCAAACAGGCTCTTAGTAAGAGACTAAATGTCCATTACAGCTCAAGTTTAACTAGCAGAACACATAGCACCAACCGGTACTAGGGTCTAGGGCAGAAAATCTTTAAAAGCAACAACTAAAGAACTAAACCAGAAAAACACTCCCGCCACAAACGGTGTCCAAACTCCAAACTAAAAACTAGAAACAGGGCTAAAAAATGTTCTCTCAACAAAACCGAGACATCTGAACTGAAATCGCAAAAGCCGCCCAAACTGATGATAAATGAATCAAAATGTACCAGCTCTACTGAATGTTGGTACCCAAGACGAAGAATCCACCTCGTAGGGACAATACATTTTTGCGTCTGACATCCGACGATCTGAGGAGAAGCACCTGACGATCTTCTTGGAGTGAAGATCCAACCAGAGCAAACTGCAGCCAGGAGTCCGGAGGAGCACGGCGCCGCTCCTCTCACCAAACCACACTAGCTCAGGACAACACATCATCCTCGCCCCCGTCGCCCCTTCTTCCCCGAAGATCTTGGCCATCTCGTCGTCGAACCGCAGGATGGCCTCCTCTCTATCAGCACCTGCGGTCGCGCCTTCCACAACTTGGTCTTGGTCTTGGTGCGCTTGTGTTAGAATAATCTACTGTTTTCTTGTGTGAACACACATTAAGGGGAAGGCGGCGTCGAAAAGCCCCCTGCTGTGCTACTGTAGCCGCTGCAGAGGCAGGCGCCAAACGGCTCACTTGCCGCACTGTAGCCACATGCAGGGACAGGCGCAGAAGTCAGTCCTGCTGTGTTATCTAGTTATTGTTGCATCATGTGCGCGGTACTAGGACTAGATGGATAGAGTTGTATAAATAGACTGCCACGGCAACTCAGTAAAGAGAGTTCAGATTTGCCATCTTTCATACAGGGCTTTTGCCAACGCTGGTGTCTTGTATTGTGTGTGTATGCTCTGTTCTCCCTCTTCTGCAATCTCTAACCATAGTGTGTGTGGACGAACAACGCTTGTTCGTGGTCGGCTTAGCTAGTGGGTGCTCGGCAACACTAGCGGGTGCTCAGCAAAACTGGTGAGTGGTTCACTCACCTGAGCCGGTAATCCTGTGGGCTAACAAGTGGTATCAGAGCCATACAAGCGTCGTCGCCAGACTAACCGCTGGCGATGACGAGCGGTTTGGAGATGAGCGACAGTAGTGGCACTGCTGTGGCTGCCCAGCCACGACCGGAGGTCGTTGTTCGCACGGTGCGGGAGGTCAGCGGCACCAGTTGGCCGACGCTGACTCGCACCAACTATGGAGAGTGGTCGGTGACCATGAAGGTCAAGTTCAGAGCCCGACGGCTCTGGAATGCTGTTGACAAGGGCACCGACAATGAGGAAGATGATATATCAGCGTTGGAGGCTATCCTCGCTGCTGTACCGATGGAGTACAGGGAGCCATTGGGGGCGAAGAGCTCGGCTAAGGAGGCATGGGAGGCTATTGCGGCGATGCGTGTCGGTTCCGACCACGTAAAGAAGGCGACGGCACAGCTTCTGAAGCAGGAGTACGTCAACCTAAAGTTCAAGGATGGTGAAATGGTGAAGGACTTCTCCCTTCGCCTGCAGACGCTCATCAGCAAGCTAAAGAGCCATGGCGTCACCATCGATGAAGAGGAGGCGGTCTCTAAGTACCTCCACTCCGTGCTGGCAAAGTACATCCATATCGCTCTCTCCATAGAGACGATGCTAGACTTGTCCACCCTTACCATTAAGGATGTGATAGGCCGTCTATGGGCGGTGGACGAGCGCCTGGAGCAGGCGACAGCAACGAAGAACAACGGTAAACTGCTGCTGACGGAAGAGGAGTGGGCTGCTTGGAGGAACTCCGGGAAGGCAGCCTCCTCCAGCCGTGGTGGCGATGGCAAGCGCCGCGGCAAGGCTTCTTCGGAGAAGAAGAAGCAGGTCGACCCCAATGTCTGTTGGTGCTGTGGGAAGATGGGCCATTTGGCACGAGAGTGCCCAAATCACAAGCAGGAGAAGAAGGCTGAAGCTCATCTGGCATAAGCTGATGATGAGGCCACTATCCTGATGACGACGTTCTGTGCACTGCATGACATCTAGGCTGAGGAGATGGAAGAGGCGACAACGGTGGAAGGACCTAGGAAGGCCCTGAAGACTATCAACCTCGACGAACCACATGCCCAAGTCCACTTCGGATGTGTGGACGTCGACCAGGAGCAGCGGTGGTATCTGGACTCTGGTACCAGCAACCACATGACAGGCTCCAAGGCATCCTTCTCTGAGCTCGACGATGATGTTATCGGTACAGTGAAGTTTGGTGATGGCTCACGGGTGGCTATCCAAGGGCGCGGCACCATCATCTTCAGGTGCCAGAACGGGGAGCACCACGCGCTAACGGATGTATATTACATTCTGTAGCTGTGTTCCAGCATCATCAGCATTAGTCAGCTGGATGACCGCGGTAGCGAGGTACTGTTCAAGGATGGAGTCCTTAGGATCAGGGACCAGGAGCAGTGACTTCTTGCCAAGGTGAAGAGGTCCCTGAACCGGTTGTACCTGCTCGACCTGAAGGTAGAGCAGCCGGTGTGCCTGGCAGCAAGGCACACCGAGGAACCGTGGATGTGCCTGCCTGCCTGGCGCTTGGTCGGCTAGAGAAGATGGTTTGAGGGCTACCCCACATCGAGCACGAAGACGAGCTGTGTGATAGCTGCCTGGCCAGGAAGTAGAGGAGGCTATCATTCCCAAAGGCGGCCAAGTATCGCGCGAAGGACGCTCTCGAGCTCATCCACGGTGACCTCTGTGGGCCGATCACGCCAGCTACAAAGGGTGGTCGGTGGTACTTCCTCCTGCTCGTGGATGATTGCAGTTGCTACATGTGGCTACAACTCCTGACGAGCAAGGACGAAGCGGCGGTGGCGATCAAGAAGTTCAAGATGCGCGCGGAGGCCAAGAGTGGCAAGAAGCTCCGCGTGCTGAGGACTGATTGCGGCGGCGAATTCACTTCGGTGGAGTTTGCTGCGTACTACGTGGATCAGGGTGTGGTGCGACACCACACCGCGTCGTACTCACCATAACATAATGGTGTGGTGGAGCGACAGAATCAGACGGTGGTCGACATGGATCGATCCATGATGAAGGCCAAAGGCATGCCGGCAAGGTTCTAGGGTGAGGCGGTGACCATGGTGGTGTTCATCCTCAACCGCACTCCGACCAAGGCGCTGACGGGCAAGACGCCGTTCGAAGCTTGGTATGGGCGCAAGCCTAGCGTATCCTTCCTCTAGACATTCGGCTGCATCGGCCATGTCAGGAAGACGAAGCTGAACTTTACCAAGCTAGAGGACAAGAGCACACCGATGGTGTTCCTGGGCTATGCGAAGGGTACCAAGGCGTACCGGCTCTACGACCCATGCGGAGACAAGGTGCTTGTCTCGCGCGACGTCGTGTTCGACGAGAAGGCGGCTTGGGACTGGACCAGTCTGAGCACGGGGGAAGCTGGCGGCTTCACCAGCACCTTCGTCGTCGAGCACCTGGTCATCCACGGTGGTGGAGATGCTGGGGAAGAGGTGCCGAGCACTCCGGAAGGGGTGCCGAGCACTCCAGCGGCAGAGCCGAGCACTCCTAAGGCAGTACCGAACACTTTGGGAGGGATGCCGAGCACTTCGGGAGGAGTGCCGAGCACTCCTGGAGGGATGCCGAGCACTCCAGAAGTGGCATCGGGAGGTTCTGCAGTGGTGGTGACCACTCTAGGACGGGTGCCGAGCACTCCCGTGGTGGAGCCAAGAGGTCTTACAGTGGTGCCAACCACTCCAAGACTGAGGTTGAGCACTCCAATAGTGGTGTCGAGCACTGTAGGAGTAGTGACGAGCTATCCAGAAGTAGTGCCGAGCACTGCAACCGGGGTGCTGAGCACTTCAGGTGTTGTGCCGAGTACTCCGGCGAAACAGGAAACTCCATCGATGCCGATCGAGTTCGTGGATGCCTTCCATGAAGGTGAGGAGGTGCGGTTCCGTAGGCTGGACGACATCGTCGGCGGCACAGGACCCTCAGCACTGGTTGGTCGGTTGCTCAATGATCAAGAGCTGCTGCTTGTCAGCGTAGAGGAACCACCCACGTTTGCACTAGCCGAGTGTGACAGAAACTAATGACAGGCGATGCTGGAGGAGATGAAGGCGATCGAGGAAAACGAGACATGGCAGCTCGTCGATCCACCTCTAGGATGTCGTCCGATCAGCCTGAAGTGGGTGTACAAGGTTAAGCGGGACGAGCTCGGCGCCATTGTCAAGTACAAGGCGTGCCTCATCGCCCGAGGCTTTGTTCAACGCAAGGGCATAGACTTCGAGGAGGTCTTTGCGAAAATAGCGTGCATGGAGTCGGTCCATTTGCTACTAGCCTTGGCAGCAGCAAAGGACTGGCGCGTCCATCACTTGGACGTTAAATCGGCCTTCCTCAACGGCGAGCTGGCGGAGACGGTCTTCGTCAGGCAACCTCTAGGTTTTACCATCAAGGGAGAGGAGCACAGGGTGCTTCGACTGCGCAAGGCACTCTACGGGCTGCGGCAGGCCCCATGAGCATAGAATGCCAAGCTTGACGCCACACTGGGCAAGCTTGGGTTTCAACGGCGCGTAACCGAGCACGTGCTCTACACGCGGCGATGGGGAAAGGAGGAGCTCGATGTCGGCGTGTATGAGGATGACTTGATCATCACTGGCGCATGGACAGAGGACATCAACGGCTTCAAGCGCGAGATGGCGGCTTGTTTTTGAATGAGCAATCTCGGCACTCTCCTACTACCTCGGCATCGAGGTGAGACAGGGGAAGGAGGAACTCACGCTCGGTCAGAGCGCGTATGCCTCCAAGCTGTTGGAGCGGAGCGGCATGGCTGAGTGCAAGACATGCGTGACTCCGATGGAGGAGCGGCTGAAGCTGACGAAGGCCAACAGCACGGTGAAGGTGGATGCAACACTCTATCGGAGCATCATCGGCGGTCTTCGCTACCTAGTCCACACGAGGCCAGACATTGCATTCACCGTGGGCTACGTTAGTCGCTTCATGGAGGATCCCAGACAGGATCACTAGGCTGCGGTGAAGTGGCTACTACGCTACGTCAAGGGGACGTGGATCAAGGGTTCATTTTTTCCAAGACCAGCGAGAGTAGGCTGCAGCTCACTGTGTTCAGCGATACAGACATGGCAGAGGACATCGACGGACGATGAAGCACCACTAGCGTGCTCGTCTTCCTCGAATCGGCCCCAATTTCTTGGTTGTCGCTGAAACAGAAGGTGGTGGTGCTATCTACATGTGAGGCAGAGTACGTAGCGGCGCCCACAGCGGCGTGCCAAGTTGTGTGGCTACGTCGGCTGCTGGGTGAGCTGACCGGTGTGGAAGCTCACCCACCAGCACTACTGGTGGACAACCAGCCTACCATCGCTCTCGCGAAGAATCCGGTTCTGCACGACCGGAGCAAACACATCGATGTGAAGTTCCACTTCCTCAGGGACTATGTCAATGGAGGGCAGACCGTCATCGAGTTCATCGAAATTGGTCCGCAACTCACGGACCTCCTCACCAAGCCGCTCAGATGTCTTCAACTCACGAAGCTGAAGGAGATGATCGGTATGGAGATGGTACAAGGGATAGCAGTAGGATTAGGTGAAGAATTGTTAGAATAATCTACTGCTTCATTGTGTGAACACACAGCAAGGGGGAGATGACGTCGAAAAGCCCCCTGATGTGGTACTGTAGCCACTGCAGAGGCAGGCGCCGAACAACTCACCTGCCGCATTGTAGCCATATGTAGGGACAGACACAGAAGTCAGTCCTGCTGTGTTATCTAGTTACTGTTGCAGCATGTGCGCTGTATTAGAACTAGATGGATAGAGTTGTATAAATAGACTACCACGGCAACTCAGCAAAGAGAGTTCAGATTTGCCATCTTCTATACATGGCTTCGGCCAACGCTGGTGTCTTGTACTGTGTGTGTATGCTCTGTTCTCTCTCTTCTATAATCTCTAGCCATAGTGTGTGGGGACGGACAACGCTTTTTCGTGGTTGGCTTAGCTAGCAGGTGCTCGACAACTCTAGCGGATGCTCGGGAAGACTAGTGGATGATTCATTCACATGAGCCAGTGATTTTGTGCGCTAACAGCTTGCACGGCTCCCACACGCGCATGTTCTCGGCGTTGGCAACGAGCACGACTGGGCCCCCACTAGCCGAATCTGTTGCTAGGAGGTAGCTACGTCTCCTGGGGGCGTCGCGACGGGGGAAGCTCGCCGGGAGAGACGTCTGGCTCACCCGCGCCACTCTCACGTGGAGCATGAGCACGTAGCTCCCGACGTCGGTCAGGCACAGCCAGTGCACGACATCGCCGACGACCAGGACCTTTTGCAGCGATATGCGGCACATGCACCTCCCGTGTATGTTAGGTGTTGGGATCTCCATGAACGGCGACCACGCGCCGTGCTCCGACGAGAAGGTATGGACCATCAGCCGACGGTTGCTATTCGACAACGCTAGCTTCGCCTTGAGCACTTGGAAAGGACGGTCGACGGCGGCGCCGGCGCCGTCACCTACCTCGCCGTCGTATCCGTCGCCGACGAGCAGGACGTACTGTTCCGGATTGTAGCTAATATGTGGCGGGAAATCCAGTTCCGACGGGAGGGCCAGGCGGCGACCGGTGGTCGGGTTGCACACGAGCAGCTGATGCTGGTCATGGCGTTGCTGCCACGGGGGACTAGTAGTCGCCGTGGCACGGATGAGGACCAGGCCGCTGCGTGAGTCCACGGGCAACGGGCCCGTTAACGTCTTGGTTTCAGCGGCGGCTGAGGCGAAGGTGGCCTCGACGAGACGGGTGGTGTCCGCCGCGGTGGTATCCACCAGGTACACGGTGGTCTTCCCCCTGCCGCCCTCGTAGGTCGTGCTAAGTGGCGAATCTAAGATTTTAGAATATACCAAAAGGCAAAACTAAAAAGCGTGTGTACAAAATGAGGTCTGAGGACAACCTTGCCGCGTGGGCCGCGTCCTAGGCCTTGTGACTTGCTTCCGTGATGGGCTGATGGCGTGAATGGTTATCCAGGTGATTTTTTCCTTTTCTTTATATAAATACTCGATGTATAATATGTATGTTATATTGCTTACTTGCCGGTGCCGGGGCATACTCGTCATACACTGTGGCTCCGCCACTTGACTCATGATTCCCGCCAGGTGGCCACACAGGAGGGGGAGGAGGAACCAGCCAGTGTCGCGGAGCTAGAGGAGGGCACCGAGGTTTGGGTCCTCGGCGATGTGGCGGCGCGCGCCCCTGCACGTGTCCGTGCAGCGCGATCTCCGCGATGACGTCGAGCGGGAGGCATGCCGCGGCCTTGTGTCTCTGCCGCCCTCCTCTTGGCTGTCGTGCAAGCGGGGAGACCGGGACGACGACGTCACCGCCACCCGCCATGGATTGATCGCGTGGATAGGTTTTGCATGCCAATGTGATCCTAGTTTTTCGTGCCAATATAACAACTTTTTGCGCCGCCGCGACGTGCAAGTAGTCGGGCCTAGCCGATTGTTTTTTGTTTCATTTGGGCCGCAACGTGTATATTTGCGTGCCAATATAACAATCCTGAGGGCCGAGTGTTAGTTGATCTCCACCAATAGGCCCAACGACCTATTAGGCCCTTGTCTCTGCTCCCTGATCGGGGGAGCCCAACCCTAATACGGTTGGTGGGCCCCTGTCGCACAGCACACATAAAAGGAAGGTGTGGATCAAGGCTCGGACTACGAGGTTCACTGGAGCCACCATCCCACCTACAGAAAACCCTAATCCGATCCTAAAGAAGTGCTGCCAGCGACGGGATGTCCTACTGCACCGCTGTCTCCCATGTAGGTCTACACCAGGCCACTGGACTTCACCTCCTCGCCACTACGACGTCTACTACACCGCGGCATCGGCGTCCATGCTTGCTGATGCGCCACAATAGAGAAAGGCGAGGAACCTTCCCGGATGTACGGTTACAGAGAGGTACACCATCGATCCTAATAATGGTACCAGAGCCAGGTTGCCTCTGTGTAACCCTAACCCTAACCGGGTAAAAGCAAAGCGAAAAGGGACCGAGGGTGGCGAACGTCACTGGAACCCCGGTCACCACCGCCACCGCGTGGGGAAGAGATGCCGCACCGCCGTTCTCATCGGCGCACGGCAAGAACAGAAAAGATCCGTGTTTGGATCAGAGAAGAGAAAGGGGAAAAGGATCTTCAAGAACCCTAACCCTAACCTGCGCAGAAAGCTCAGAGAAAAAGAAGAGTGGGTTCGGATTTGGTCGAACCCTAAGACCTAACCCCAATTTCATCCCTGTTAACACTGGATTTTGGTCAATTCTGGAAGATGACAGGTGGACCCACATGCAGGAAGAAGAGTGTTCGGCAAACAACGCAAGCGGTCGGCTAAATGCTTGTGCGGTCGGTTATTCTGGAAGGCGGTAACTCCATTCGGGAAAGCAGAAGATGGCAAGCAAAGCCGATCGAAAAGATGAAAGTTGTAATAATAAAGGACTCTGAGAGTTTGGGGCAAGGAATCGTAGTTTCCAAGTTTATTTAAGAGTTCCTTTGTAAATCGTAGTCTTTTAGGACTCGTGTTTCGTCTAGGGTATAAATATTGACCCTCGACCATTGTAATAGGCGTTCACAACCAAATCAATACAACCGGCCCGTGCCAACTTTCGAGTCCTTTTGTCGTGTCATCCGAGTTCTTGAGAGGAGTCATCGATCCGTCGACCTCCGTAAGTTCCGACAACCTTGTTATCATGTTTAGTATCATGCGGTGGATTTAGGCGTGATGCAAGTAGTCTTGTTTGTTTTCAATGATCGTATGCGGCGGATCTTTGCTTGACAATCAAGAAGTCTTTGCTTATACTTTGTTTATGAGTAGATACCGTGCGGTGGCGTTTGCTCAATATGCTTAGTGGAAGCAAGCAGGTTATCGGCTCTATTAGATTACGGCAAAATCTAAATAGATTCATCAAGTTATCTGTGTTGCATGTTTTAAATATTTTATATATTTGTAACACACTTTTGCCCAATCTAGATTGATATTGTTCGCCCTCTTCTATGGTTTTATTCGAGCTTCAATGATCATTACTTTCATAATACATTTGCAAATAGATAACATGCTCGTAATGGCTGAATTATTTTAATCTAGATTGTCACATGTTGTGGGTTCATGTATGTTAATCACGTTTAAGTTTTTGACGAAACTAGGTGTCGTATGCGCATTTGAGTTTTAGATTGGCTTAATCGTGTTTATCTACACGTTCCTTCTTCATGGACCCCAACTTCAATTTGGATTGTTGAGCTTGGATATGCATTAACGCATAATCAATTTCACTTGTTCAAACATGTCTTCCCATGCATATGCATTCGGCAATCGAGATCTTTACGTATGTCCATCCTACGATTAATCGAATGATTTATAAACTTGTTGGCGCATGACTTCTATATAGCCGTATGTCGTTGTAAGTGGCTTCCGAGGGCCGTATATACGGGCTATGCGGTCTCACCCGACATGTTCCGGTTTAACATTTAACTATTTTATCCCTTGTCGATTTCTTTTCAGTCAAACCGACCGCGCGTTCCGGATCACGAAGCACTCGGGCACCGATTGAAGCTACGCTTTTAAACTTGTTGTGTGTGTGCGACGCGGTCGTCACATTTTGTGTCAACACACTTTTTGGCACGCCGGTGGGACAATCTGCTAGTTCAAGATGGCATCCGAGATCAACAATGATCATGTTCGGATGTAAGCATGGCGTAATTGCTAGATAATTACAAGGATTTAGTGCTACAAGCGTGTGAGCAATACCAACGGGAGTGCTTGATGTCTTTTTCAAAAACAAGAGCAATAAAGTATTTCAAAAGCGGTCAATGCCAAGGGTTCTTCTTCCGCATCAAACTGATTACCATCAAGAGGAGGATGCTCGAGAAGATGGCAATACGGTTTATAAAGCTATGGGAGAAACCATGACAAACCATCACACAGCTTTTACGAATACCTTTCGGGCAATCATGATCGTACTTTTGGCCCAATGGTTGATAAATACTTGAGGAAAATGTTGGACCACTTAGTGGGCCGGACGCTTTCAATGTTCCAAAGCATCAAGAGAAGCTGTTGGAAAGGAAGTAAGCGTCGCCTTCAAATATAGGTGGATTGACTCACACCGAAAAGCGGTCACATCCCACCTATGGCCGATGACATTTGGTACCACAGGAGAAGTGCCACTTTCGACTTATAGAGTTTCTCCGGCATCAAATAGATTACGAAGAAGAATATGTATGGAGATGGATATCAAGAATTTCTTGATTACGGTGCTATCAATCTTTGTGCCAAACCTGAGGTATAGAAGTGTTTGAGATTGCCTTACGGAGTGCAAGTACAAGGAAACCAGGATCCGGCATTGATGTTTTGATGCAGGATGGGCGATATGATGCAAAATCAGTTCGCTTGAAGCCAAAGAATCAATCCTATTCATACAAATCTCCTTATCCGAGAATGGTACAACAGAGTGGCATTGCCTCCAAGGGTGAAGCCTCCAACAGATTTGACCAAGTTTTACGGTCAAGATGATACTAGTACCATAGAGCACATCGATCGGTACTTAATGCGACTTGGAGAAGCCGCTTCGGATGAAGCATGGAGGATTCGATATTTTCCTTTGTCTCTTACGGGACCGGCTTTCACATGGTTCACGTCTCTACCAAACTCATTCCATTGGTACGTGGGCGAGAACTAGAGCGAAGTTTCATTCATATTTCTATATGGGTACCAATGAGAAGAAATTGGTTGATCTCATGAGTGCGAGGATGAGAACAAATGAAACACCATTGGAGTATCTTCGCAGATTTAGGGAGACCAAGAATATGTGTTATTCTCTAAATTTACCGGATGATCAACTACACCGGAATTGCTATAGTAGGAATGTTGCGAATATCGGGGAGAAGTTGTTCGGTTTAGAGTTTGATGATCTTGGTCAACTTGCATGACGTTTAGCGACTATGAGTAATCAAGCCCAAGGATTCGAGGAGAGATAATCGCTTTCGGAAGAACAATGCCACTAATGAGGTGTATCGGGGCTTTCGGGACGAAGCGGATCGTGAGTATATTGATGAGGATGAGATAGCTGCAATTTGAGTTAAATTGGGACAAGGAACCCACTCAAGTTAGTCAACGCTGGTTGAAACAACAAAAGGAACCTATGATTTTGATGTTACTAAGGCGCACATACTTTTTGCATTGTTGATAAAGGAAGGACGCATCAAGTTACCGAAGGACATCCTATGTTGTTACGTCTCAAGGAGTGAAAGACAAAAAATATTGTGGCTTTCATAACACTAATTCTCATTCTATTAATGATTGCCGAGTGTTCGTAATGCGAATCCGAAAGCTATCCAAGAGGGACATTTGAGGTTTGATGGCAAGATGAAAATTGATGATCAGCCTTTTCCACAAAATATGATTTCTTTCTCTATGAATGTGGTATCTCGCCAATGATCTCAAAGGTAAAGGCAAGGTGAAAGTGTTGACTTCGATAGAGCAAAGGAGAGTGGTCTTTGTTGACCGGATCGGCAAATCACCGAAGAGAGAGCTATGAAGATCGAGTTCGGTTTCGAGAATAGCCGAACCGAGAAAGGTCAAACTTCAAACCCGAGTTACATCACGTATTTTGCTAAACAAGTGGCGAGAGAACAAGAGAAGGAATCTTGTAAGAAACAATGGTTTATGGAAGAATGCTGGGAGGTATGAGGAAGAAGTATATACGAAGGGAGCAAGAAGAATACATGATGAGCAGGAGCGGTCTCATTGGGGTTGTTCGTTCTTTAGGCATTGTTGGAATGAAGGTTTGAGGTTGCTGCAAGAAATAATTGTCCGGAGTGTAGTGCTCGATTACTCGAGTATAGG